TTGACGTTGTTACCAATGTTGATGTCGCCGGTATTGATGATGGTGTTGCCGCCATGAAAACCACCGCGATAGCCGCCCCCATAATAACCACCGCAACAACGCCCTGGATAATAGCCCCCGCCATAGCCGCCGCTCCAACCGACGCCCATGCTGAAGAACCCGTTTGACCAACTGACACCAACATTCCAACCGGTCCAGGGATTGTAGCCGACGTGCATGCCCCAGGTCGGCGGGCGCGGATAATAGTAACGACCATAGTAAGGTCGATAATACCAACCCGTACCGTATACGGGCACGCCATAGTATGGGTAAGACCACATGTATCCAGGGGTATACCCTACATAGACGACTTGCGGCGTCGACTGATAAATGTGTACGTGGGTGGTGTTGTAAACCGGCGAGCTTGGCGGAATCTGCTGGATCTCTTCGTTAGGAATGGAGTCAGAGACTGCCCACGGACCGGTTGCACTGCTTGAGTCAAACCACACGCCGTTGTCGACCGCGTAATAACGATTATCAATTCGCAGAACCTGCGCTGCCGTGTTGATTGCGTAGCTGACCTCAGTTCCTTTGATTTTTTCGAACTTAGGCTGGCCGTCATATTCCACGGTTAAGCTGGCTTTACTTCGTTCGATCGCTGCGGTTTCAGGGATCTGCGCATCCAGCATCGCATCGTTGGCCTCTTCTGTTCCCGCAACGGATACCCGCAAACCACCTATATCGGATTCAGGAGGAATCTGCGCAAAACTTTGTGGTAATTCATCAGAACGCACAAATGTCCACGGACCCGATTGGGATTTGCTTCGGTACCAACGACCCGATAGCAGTAAATACATATTGTTTGTAGAGAGCTCGCGCAACCAGGCGGTTTCGGTGTTCTTCACGTACAACAAATCACCACCAGGCAATGACTGCCAATCGGGTTTACCAGAGGTCACGACCAGTTCTGTGGGCTCGTCTGCAGCGACAATCACTGGTGGTTTGTCCGGAGACGCAGTCACATCCTGCGCAGCCTCAGCCAGCATCTGTTCAAGATCCTTCGGCACAGAGTTTGTTTGTGTCCAGGGGCCCAGGGCAGTTTTTGCGGTGTACCAGTACTTACCACTGCTCAGATAGTAATCTTTGCTGCCTTGTTTACGTACAACAGCAAAAGGTGTGTTGAGCACACGCTCATACGGACTGTTTTCAATATCGGCATAACGTGGTTCACCGTCAAACATAAGCAGCACGGCAAGCTCTTCAGAAAAAAGGATTGCCGGTGGATCGTTTTTCAGGTCTTCAAGGCTTTGCTGCACGATCTCTGCGGTTGCGAGACTCGCTGAGAGCCTTTCGGTAGATATCTCAAACCCACTCTGCGGTAGAGACGCTTCGACCACGGTTGTGAAACGTTGCTCATTCGCATCGGTTGATTCGGGCCAACGAACATCCGTTACTTTGAGATCTCTGATGGTTGCGATACCTGCGTCCGTATCATTATCAATTTTAGCCTCAAACCAGAAAGCACCAAATATGGGATCCTTGCGATCTTTCAGTTCCAGCGCCATCGCCGCGCGACCTTTCAGCGTGTTGCCCTGCAGACTTTCAGGCTGCGGCTGGTAAACAACAATAGTGCCTTCGTCCGATATCACTTCCTGGGGCCAGTCGAGGGCTGCTGCGGTGGCTGAAATAAACAACAAGCCCGAAGCAACAACTATTCTGAAAATCCTTAATACTGATGTCATGAATGCTCGCTTTTCTTGGTATGCAGCTGTGAATTTTTGATAAACGCGGAATACGGCCATGTTTGCCGATCTTCGGCCAGCCTTGCGGACGCGAAGTATATACAAAAGCCGTCGCTTCCGGCATCAGGTTTTCCAGCATATGGATGAGCCAGAAAGACCTGCCATTGTCCTGGCGGTGCGTCATAAAGAACCCACTACTCATGCACCAGTGGTCAAACGGTGTCTTAGAGAAGCACCCCGAAGTCGATTAAAGCCTCGAAAAAGATAACCAATGATCTTAGGCGCGACAGAACCTGCTCTGGCCTCTCGCGCAAATGCCGGTCGTTTTAAAAGCGCCTGATAATATCTTGCCAGATGAGGCAGGCGCGCAATGGGAAAGCCTGCGAGTACCAGGCGGTGGATCGTAATAAACCAGGCGATGTCCGGCAACATCAAACGGTCGCCGCACAAGTACACAGTCTCAGACAGAAGCTCGTCCAACCGCTTCAGTACATTATCAAACCGCTGCACTGCATCCTCAACTTCACGCTCAGCAAAGGCATAGTTCATCAATACGCCAGGCATAACAAAGGTGAATGTGATCACACGAAGGTGGGCATGCAACCCTTCCTCAAGGTCCATCAACTCCACTGCTCGCAAACGTTCAGCTTCACTTGATGGGAGATAAGCGCCGCTTCCTGAAGGAAAGGCACCATCAAGGTAAATGAGAATGTCGTTACTCTCGTTCCACACCGCGCCGTTGTGAACCAGTACAGGTACAACGCCAATAGCGTTGATACCCAGAAACCAGTCGGATTTCTGTTCGCCCTTTGAAAGGTCTACAGGATGAGAGTGCCAATCTACACCTTTTTCAGCGAGGAAGATGCGCACCTTCTGAGAACAGGATGACATAGGGTAATGCAGCAGATGCAGTCCCTGCCACTGCAGTACTTCCGTTGTACTGATATCTGCCTCACAGATCTGCATTGTTTAACCTCTCTCATCAACTATGGTGTTCTCTAGATGGCCCAGCCAGGACGCCTCGGTCCTGACAACGTCTCCTGATTTCAGGTATAGGCTCTGATTCCAGATATTTAGCGGCTTGAATATCACACCTGCTGCTGTGCCAGTGAGTATCAAGGTGCCGCTGGGAATATAGCCAAGAGGCATAAGACTGACTGTCTCTTCACCTTTCTGGTAGCGCAATTCTCGCTTCTCAAAAGCCTGGGAAACGATGTCCTCAATCTTCAAAATGACATCTCGCATGGCGAACTGCTGACGCAGGCTATCGTTCACATATAAAGAAACTTCAAGCGAAAGGTAGAAATCAGGTGAACGAGGAATGACCACCAAGTAACCTGTCGGCAGATACCCAGGCCGTCCTTTACCCGAAGCAAACCCGGTTAGGCCAAGTGGCTGTCTGATTTTGAGTTCCTTGATTAACATCCAACGGTCGGTAAAGTCATTACATAACACGATCCCGAATCTGGGCAGTTCATTGGATGAATGAATATCAGCTAGGGGGAAAAGGCATACTTCTGCCTCATAATCCAGCCGCACGGTAAATGGCACCGGATCACGCCAACCGCCTGCCTGGGCCAGTTTCGGGAACAGGAAAGGTGGATCGTCGGAGTACACCTCTTCTGCATGCTCTTTAAAGTTGGTACCTACCGCAACGTGTGGATCAGTATATGCAAGGGGTGGCAGCAATTGTGCCAGCGGGAAAGACTCAACATTTGAGCGCGGATCAGGCAATGCAGCTTCATCAAACTCTCTGATAAATTTCGTCAGGTCTGCCGTGACGGACTCGCCAAACATCTTGCTCAGATTCACACCACTCACGCTATCGCTGGAATGGGCCGTGACCCAGATCAAACCCTCCTTTGCGCGAGCAAAGGTCAGCGCAGTTTCCGGGTCGGCGATGCCCGGTTCGAAAGTACCCCGGGTCTCATCAAAGACCGGCCTTGAAACCCACCAGGTGAGCGCTGCAAAACTAAGGATTAAAAGTACCAGCACACACATAAATATTTTCATCAGCTTTCCTTTCGCTCCCGTGGCGCTATTGTTGTAGAAGCAGGTACACACCCAGCGTGTTCAGCAACATCAGAATGGTGCAGCCAAAAAGATTAGTATCCACCAGCCAGATACGGCCAAAAATATTGAACCGGAACGGTTTAATGCCGTTCACATCTTTCAGTGACCCTTCGAAGATCGGCATGGATGCCAGCGTGGCAAAAAAAGTTCCACCCCAGATGTAGTTGAGAATTCCAGCCAGCAGGACGCTGGCCTGATGTTGGCCACCTGGCCCCCAGATCAGGTAAAGCGCCACCATGGCCACACCTGCCTGATTCAGTACCTGCCAAACCACATGAAAACGTGCGTGGGGCGTCCACAACGGATTAGTCGCGTGGGTCCTGTTAAAGTCCGCAATCATCGGACCTACAGCGCTCGCTAGCGCGATCAGGGTAAAAATAATTCTGGGCGCGAGCGCCACTGCAGTTGATTCCATATAAATCTCTCAGATCAGTCCGGGGTAGGATCCACCATCCAGCTGCAGATTCTGACCGGAGATAAAACCGGCCTGGGCACTGCAGAGGAAAGCACAGGCATCACCAAATTCTGCAGGGTCGCCCATGCGCCGTGCCGCAATGGAGCTGATCATCTCTGCATAGGATTCCTCATGACTGATGCCCTTTAACTTTCTGACCATGTCGACCATGTACTTCTGCCGATCTGTATCAAACCGTTCCGGCAGCATGTTGTTGATGGTGACGTTGCTCGCAGCAACCTCTAAGGAAAGACCTTTGCACAGCGCAGTAAGGCCCGATCTAGCAGCTGTGGACAGGCCCATCGGCGCTCTTGGTGATTTCACCATGGCAGAGGTAATGTTGACGATACGGCCAAAACCCCGCCCGACCATACCTTCAAGCAGACCCTGAATCATAAATACCGGCGCCATCAGGTTGGCATCTACAGCTCCCTGCAGGTCTTCGCGCTGCCAATCGGCAAACCGCCCTGGAGGTGGTCCTTCGTTGTTATTCACCAGAATGTCAGCATCAGGGCAGGCACGAATCAGGGCAGCACGACCCTCGTCCGTGTTGATATCTGCCACCACTGCGGCGACACAGTTTCCCCCGAGCGCTTGAATTTCAGATCGCGTCGCTTCGAGCCGTTCCTGGTGCAGACCATTAATCACCACGCCAACCCCTTCGCGCGCGAGTGCTATCGCGCAGGCTTTGCCAAGCCCTCGGGATGATGCGCAGACAATTGCCTTTCGCCCCTTGATCCCTAGATCCATCTTCACTTCTCCCGATGTAGAACAAAGTCCATCACATTCGCCAGAGCTTCATCAGCAAGCTGCTCGAAACGCGCTGCAATGTGTCCGTCTGGACGTATGAGAAATGCACCGGCATGGGGCAGTCCGGTCTGTTCAGCCCAGTCACTATCATCCAGAAAATCTGCCCCCCAGCGAATCTCATGCAGGTAATTGTCGCAGTTCATCCGGGGCGCATGCGGTCCGTACATAAGCGTAAAACGATTGGCCGGCAGCAACTGTTGCAATGCCTGCCGGGTGCCATTTACGGTTACCCAACGATGCGGGAAGTGGGCACCGGCATCCCAGGATGGCTGGTAATCGGACACATCTGTCAGTGCCGGTGCCGGTGCAGGCCGGTATATAGCCCCGCGGGTATAGCGATAGCCAAGTTGCAGGTTAAAGCTATCAAAGTGCGGTTTTTGCGCAGCAACGGCTTCAGCAAGTGCACTGCAGGCCGCTGGATCCGCCACAACGCAAGCATAATGCTCAGCAATGCTGTCTGGCTCTGTGCCATGTAGGGCTGTAAAAAGATCGAAGAGCCTGAATGCATTTTTTAGACTTTGTTCACTATTGGTACGTGCCACTGGCTCACGTTCAGTTTCATAGGTATCCAACAGTCCACTGCCGGCTCTTGCTTGCAATACAGCAGCCAGCTTCCAGGTAAGGTTCTGGACATCACCGGCACCGGTGTTCAAGCCAAGGCCACCCGCTGGCGGGAACCGGTGCGCAGCATCACCCGCGATAAATATCCGTTGGGACCTATATTCCTGTGCAATCTGAGCAGACATGCTCCAGGGGCTGACATTCTCGACAATAGCTCCCGGCACCGGCTGACCTACCGCCTGCGCAAGTGCAGATCGACACCGTTCGTCATCATAGTCATCAAGCTTTTCAGACTTCGGGTCCCACGGATACATAAGCACCCACGTATGAGCCTGGTCGTAAGCAATGAGCGTGCCGCGAACATCTGGGGCAAACAAAAAATAGAGCACACCAGGCCGACCTTGAGTGAAGGGCCGCAGATCTACCGTAAAATGAAGCATGAGGAAGTCCTGCAGGGCTTCCGGACCTTGCATGCGGATGCCTAAAGCATCGCGCGTGGATGACCCCGCGCCATCGGTTGCTATCGCATACGCTAAAGATTTTGTATCGCGAGCGCCCGTTTGCACATTTCTTAATTCTGCCACCACCCGCTCACCCTCATTGACCAGTTGAACGCACTCAACACCACGGCTGAACTGTATGTTCGCATCGCCAGCGATGACGTTGCTTAGCGCTTCCTCAAAACGCGGCTGAGGAATATTGCTTAAGGGGTATGGCGTATAGCGCAAGGCACCTGCATCCTGTCGCTCATAAGGTAAGGATCCAAACTCCGGCCCGGACAGGGTGCCAACAAAACGTACGTCTCCTGCATCATTGGCATCCGCCCCCAACAACCTCAAGCGTTCAGCGCTGACACCAATGGAGTCGCAGATCTCCAGCGTGCGGGGATTTACCGCGTGTGCTTTCGGCGCAGTGAGGAGCGCCAACCGCTTATCCACCAGAAGCGACGGAATACCGTGATATGACAGCAGCAACGCGGCGAGTTGGCCGACCGGCCCAGCGCCAACAATAAGTACAGGCGGCTGTTCAAATATTTTCACATCAATTCCTTTTTGAGATCTTTCTCATTTATGAGATTAATCTCATTTATCTTGCCTGCTGTCAAGCTATCCGATATCTTGTCTGCAATCTGCAGAGATGAGAAAAAGATTGTCTGCCACCAGCCACAGCCTCTTCCAGAACCAAACCGCTACACGGGGTAAGCGAGAACGCACCCGTGCAGCACTTCTGGACAGCGCAATCAGCGTTTTCGCTGACAAGGGTTTTGAGGCGACCCGCATCAATGACATCACCGACCATGCCAGCCTTGCAAACGGCACGTTCTACAATTACTACCGCGATAAGCAGGAAGTGCTCAGCGATGTAGCAAGCGGACTTGCCGTCGAGATCGTGCGGCAAATCAACGATGAGATGGAAGGCATCGACAATGCAATGGTCCGATTTATCACGGCCACAGTACGCGTTCTTGAAACTGCCAGGCGGGAACCTGAATGGATTGACGTACTGCTCGGCAGCATCGATGTTATCCCGGAACTGCAGTCCGCTGTTGTCATGTACCTGCGCCAGGACCTCGAACAGGGCGCTGAACAAGGTCACTTCGATATTGAAGTCGATCTCATTCTGGTGAATCAGATACTTGCACTGGTGCGAACGGCAGTGCTGCTGGACAAAAGCGTTGAGAGGCAAACCATTCGCAGAACGTGCGAGTCAGAACTTCGACTATTGGGGTTATCTCCACGCCAGGCCGCTCGAGAGGTCAAGAAGGTACTTGATCGCCGCGATCCACAAAACACATAGGAGCAGATATGAAACTTAATTGGTCACACGCCGTCCTAAACGCCCGCAATCTGGAACAGATGCTCAACTTTTATACCTCGGTGATGGGTTTTACTGTTACAGATCGCGGACCCATGGGGCCACCCAACGCGCCAGATATTGTGTTCTTGAGCAACAGCCATGACGAACACCACCAGATTGCGATGGTGCAGTTACGCGATGAATCGTCCTCTACATCGCTGAATCATCTGGCTTTTCGGGTTGAGAGCTTTGCTGAAGTCAAAGAAATGAGTCAACGACTGCAGGCCAATAAAACGGACATCCTGCCGCTTTCACATGGCAACACTCTTTCGCTGTATTTCAGTGACCCTGAACAGAACGGGATAGAAGTGTTCTGGGATACACCCTGGCACGTGGACCAGCCGCAGGGTGCGGTCTGGGACACTGGCTTAGACGAGGCAGCTGCGCTCAAATTTGTTGAAGATACCTTTAAAGAAGAGCCGTCTTTTGTACGCCGCGAGGATTGTCAGAAAACCTTTGTTAATCGACCGGCATAATGCGCCGCGCTCAATGCCAATCTTGTAACCAAGTAGGTGGTCATCATTGAGGACTTCAGGATCGGTATTGGAAGGGCTTATCTCATTCCTCACCGGCACCGGCTAGTTCAATGTCCTGCTCCAGTAGTCGCGCCCCGCGCATGATATTACCCAGCGCATAGTTGCCTTCATGACAGGCGTATTCATAGACGCGTTGGTCACTGGCGCGCCACACATATTCACCAGTCCACGGCCCTTGCCAAACGGTCGGATCTGAAACGGTAAACCGATATAGGATGTTCCCATCTGCTTGTAGCGTCAGATGCTCTACCAGATGCATGTTAGAACCACCGGTGAAAAAGCCGGCACCCTGATCATTGAAGTTTGTGGTGTCCACAACCAGAGTATCACCTTCCCAACGGCCAATTGAATCACCCAGCCAGTTTGTGACATGGGCAGGTGGGTGGGTACCATTAAGGCGAACTATCCGGGCATCGTGAATCATTTCCAGCTGAATCATCACGTAGTCATCAGTCTGCACGATACGCTTAAAGTTGTTGTACAGACTTGGGATCGATGGTGCGGCGCCACTGAAACCCATTAAACATCGTTCTGCAGTGTTCCGCTGTTCCATATTGTCGTAAGGCCCGGGCCCTTCCTGATCCAGCCACCAGGCGACACCTTCATTTTCGCGCGTCACGTCACCGTACAGAGTAGCCATCTGCATCTGGCCTTTCGGAGTTAATGACGGAAACTGACCATTTGGTGGGTCGACAATTACAGAGGTACGGAACTTGCCGTCTACCAACAATGCGTCTGTGCCGCGATCGATCCAGAAGGCATTGTATCCACCAACATTGCCCGCTGCACCGCCAGAGCCATCTCCTCCCGCCGGTGGCGCTGTGCGATTCGGATCACTTTCCGAATTTGCTGCAGCCAGCGCGGCCGCTGCTCTTTTGGACAGCTTCTCGGCATCTTCCGGAGCCAGATAGAGATTGTCGCCGAATTCGGGAGGGCGCGTCAGCGGCGTCAGGGTTGCGCCATCATAGGTACCTGAGAGATCCGGTACGCCGCTGGCTGTGCGTGCTATATCGTCAGCGAATATCGGCGTACTGTATATACCGATAAGAAAGAGACCGAGCAGAAATTTGTATTGCTTTGCGTGCAAGCCCATGATCATCCCCCCTGTTTGTAGAACAAGATGTTAGCCCAGATAAGATGGCAACTTCCAGCGACATAAACGATCGCTCCGTAATCGAACACTCTTTCCGGTAGACTCGCAGAAACTGGGTACGAGCAGTTAAGTGCGCGCAGTCGTCCCACATTTCAAAGGGATAATGGATAGATGAAACAAATCAGGAATGAAGCAGCCTTGTTCAAAGCAGCTGTGGCGGCAGGGACCAAATACGGCGAAGAGCGAGGTGTGATGGCATATGCGTCAATTGCCTGAAGACCACCCACTATTTAAATAGCAAGTAAAAGTCGAGGCAATCAGGATCTCACAGGAACTTCAAATCACATCCAGACCCTTAGCGCACTCGACCTTCAGAGTTCTAACCATAAGCTAACAATAAAACGATCAGCAATGTAAATATAACCACCATAACCGTAGTATCTAACAGATCTAATGTGTGATCTTCTTTCAGCAGTTCTATCAGAACAAACAACATTGGAAACAAAAACAACAGCAACAGAATGTTGGTAAACGAGAACCGTAAAGGTAGTTCCGGGTGGCTTGGGTTTATCCACGCCTGGTAACAACCAATGGCCATCAGCGTGAAGGGCAGCACAAGAAACATTACCTGAGTGATACCGCCAAAACTGTTCGCCAGAGCTATACCGTACTCACCTTTGCGGTGGGACTGCCATAAAATCACGTATTCACTCATGCCCGCAAAACCAGCTAGAACAAGCGCAGCAACCAGCGGGCTCAACTGCATTTCCTGAATGGCGATATTGGCAAATTGTGCAACTTGTTCGCCGCCCAGGGCTGCACCCACTATGCCGATCAACAGGTAACCGCTTATAAGCAGCCATGAACTGTCTTGCACATGGGTATAAATCAGAGCGCGTCGTTCATCAACCTGGTCTTCGGTAAATGCCAGGACATCGCTAACCTGATCTTCTTCTTTCGAGTAGTCCTGCAGGAGTTTGATGATGTAAACGCCAAAGACCGTCAGCATCAGCATGCCCAACAGAAGCAAATCACCAGGCGTAAAAGATTGTTTCGGATGTGCACTAAAAGACATGAGCATCATGACAAGGCCCAGAATCAAGCCAAATGCCGCCCCGGCAATTAATATCTGCGTGCCCGCGCCGGTGATGGGTCGCGGCATCAGATATTTACCGTATTGGTCCTTAGGCAGGAAATAGGAATAGATGCTGAACACCAACGAATTGTTGTAGATGGTGATCAGGGCGATCACAAAGGCTGTTAAAGGGCTGACGGAAATGAGAAATCCGATGACTACCAATTCGGGCAGGGTCGAGAGTATTTCAGATGTGGTGCCAGCTATGTAATGGTCCCATTCCAGACGTGCAGCCAGGCGCTCGCTTGCAATAATCAGTGCACTGCAGGCCACCTGAAGAATGATTAATCCAACAATAAGTGCAAGCGACGCCTGCGCCCAATCGGGAATTTCAAAACCAGATAATCTGAGAAGACTGACCAAACCCCAAAGGATAAACCCGAAGATCAGACGACCCGTCCATGGCTCAGCCAAAGTTCGCCGCGTCCTGGCAGGCTCGCCTAGATAAGAAATCGATAATCGATCAGGGTCGATGCCTACGTCACGCAGTTTTTCTTCGGTACTCTCGGGCGCGTTGGGTAAACCTACCCCTGCGACACCGGTCGAATTCGCTAGGTCTGGCTCTGGTGTTGTCATCGAGTTCCGCAATGTGCATTGCCACAACAGACTGTAACTCAAAAGGTCTTCGGAAGTTACTTACTGACTCTGTCTGCCAAAAGCCTAAACTCCCGCAGATGCCAGACGAATACCCAGATCATTCCAAAGAACCTCAAGCACTCCCGGGTTCAGTTAGACTCGCCCGCGTGTTGGGCATCGATATTCGGCTGCACATAACGGTAGTGGTGATCTTCGCGTTGATCGTCACCAGCCTGGCTGCGAACATTTTTCCCCAATGGCATCCTGAGTGGAGTACCACACAAAACTGGACTGCAGGCTTCACCGCCGCAATTTTATTCTTCGTGTCGTTACTCATCCATGAAATGGCCCATTCCGTAGTGGCGCGCCGCTGCGGCATCAAAATCACAGCGATCACGCTGTTTATCTTTGGTGGGGTGGCGGAAATGAAAGGCGAACCCAACTCACCTAAAGACGAATTTTTGATAGCCGGTGCCGGACCACTGGCCAGTTTTTTCCTGGCCTTTGCATTTGGCATCCTCTTCAGTTTATTTGTAGCGGATCCTCAGGCACTGCTTAGTGAGAATGACAGCATGGACCTAGCCAACGTATCTGCTACGGCGACTGTCTTCATGTGGCTGTCCTCAATCAATTTCATGCTGGCAGTGTTCAACCTGCTGCCAGGTTTTCCCATGGATGGCGGCCGCCTGTTTCGCGCCGCGCTCTGGTGGCGTACCGGCGATCTTATGCAGGCCACTCAACTGGCAGCGCGGGTGGGAAGTGGTTTTGGCTGGGTGTTCATAGGTCTGGGTGCTATGCAGGTGTTCAGCGGGAATACCATCAATGGTTTCTGGCTGGTACTTATCGGCTGGTTCATTCGCAGATTAGCCCTGTCCAGTGTCGCCAGCCTCATCCTCGACCAGGCTCTGCGCGGTTTTGACGTCCGCGCTATTATGCGTACCCGTTTCGATAAGGTGCCTGCTGAGACGCCTGTACGCGGCTTCATCGAAGACTATTTTCTGCGCAGCAATCAGCAGGTATGGCCGGTTTCCCGAAACGAGGTCGACGAGGGTTACGTGATGGCGCAGAGTTTCAACCTGGAAAATACAGCGTTGGAAGATGCCACTGGCACCGTCGATCAACACATGCAGCCGCTTGATCAGGCGCACTCTATCAATCCGGATATCAGCGCCAAAGACGCTTTCGAACGACTCGCCAGGCACCCTTACCCGCTGCCTGTGGTCGAAAACGGACGTGTCATAGGTATCATCCACCATGCTGATATATTGCGTTGGTTCTCTTTTCACAAAATCGCAAGTTAACTCCGCATACCCACCTGCTAATTACCAGACAAGACACAAGGTCTTCGTCCAGATCGATAAAATCTAAACCTCAACGCCCGGTTGAATTCGATACAAGTTTGTTATGCTGCTGCTGTCTCCATTCTGCAACGCTACAGTAAGAGAATCTTATGCGAACCATCCTGACCGTCTTTATCGTCATGGCCTGCCATCTGGCGTTTGCCGCCGGTGCGCCAGTCCCGACCCTCATTGTCACCACGGACGCAGGCCGCGTACAGGGACTGCTTGATCACGGGGTTTCCGCATTTAAAGGTATTCCCTATGCCAAGCCTCCCATTGGAACGCTGCGCTTCATGGCACCCCAGCCCGTCGAGGCCTGGGGTTCAGTTCTGGATGCCACAGATTACGGCGCATCTGCAATGCAGATGTATGACCGAGGCGGTGACACAATTCTTTCCCGGCAGATTGCCACCGTGTTTACAACAGAAAGCGAGAAGAAGTCAGACAATGAAGACAGTCTTTTCCTGAATGTCTGGACGCCGGCGCCGGATGACCGCAAACGACCTGTGATGGTGTGGTTCCATGGCGGTGGCTGGGCTTATGGCTCTGGTTCATGGCCCGTTTATGACGGCACCAATCTTGCGAACAAGGGTGATGTCGTTGTTGTCACCGTGAACCATCGCCTGAATGTCTTTGGTTATCTGAATCTTGCTGACATCGGCGGCGAGAAGTACCAGCATTCCGGCAATGCAGGCCTGCTCGACATGGTGCTGGCGCTCGAATGGGTACGCGACAATATCAGCACGTTCGGCGGCGACGCTGACAACGTGACCATCATGGGCGAATCCGGTGGCGGCTCGAAAGTCTCGCACCTGATGGCGACGCCTGCCGCAGACGGCCTGTTTCACAAGGCGATAATCCAGAGTGGCCCAGCGCTGACGGCCATCTCGAGCGAAGCTGCAACAGCTAACGCAGAAGCTATTCTTGCGGAGCTGGGTATCCAACGCGACAACCTTGATCGTCTCCAGTGGATGACTGCGAACAGCATTATGCAAGCAACCGCGGCAGCCGCCGCAAAGAAGAACGGTCGACTGCGTCTTGCGCCTGTGGTCGACGGCAATGTCCTGCCGCGCGATCCCTTCACACCGGATGCACCGGAACAATCACGGGATATCCCGGTGCTGATCGGCTGGAATAAAGATGAAATGACTATCTTCAATGCAGGCGCACCCTGGTTCGGTCGCATGACGGAAGATCAGATGAAACAGCAGCTTGGCGGTATGTACGGCGAGAGGTCTGCTGAGATTGTCGCGGCTTATCAGCAGGCCTATCCGGACTACACGCCCACTTACCTATTCAATATGATCACAGGCGACAGCCGCATGGCGCTTGGCTCGGTGACGCTGGCCGATCGCAAAGCGAAGCAGAAGGCGCCGGTGTTTATGTACTACCTTGTTTGGGAAACCCCGGTTGGAGATGGCGTCTTCAAATCGCCGCATACCCTTGATATGCCTTTTATGTTCAATAACGTCGACAAGTCCGTCGCGATCGCGGGCGAGAGCACTGAGGCGCGCATACTGGAGAACCAGATGTCGTCAAGCTGGATCGCATTTGCGCGAACGGGAGACCCCTCGAATCCAACGGTTGGCAGCTGGGCACCTTATTCCGCGAAGCAACGCGCAACCATGGTGTTTGATGTTAACCCACGAATCGAGAACGATCCCAAAGGCGAGTTGTTAGAGCTGCTGGTGCAATAGCGCTTCCGCTGACACGAAAGGTCATATGAGAGCGTTATGCTGGTCCTCCAACAGATAATTGAAAATCTTCTGCTTCTGAGCTTTATGGGGATTGTGTTCTTTTTTGTACAAAGGCACCGCAGTTCTCTTGGCGCACTTAAAACTGATTTACTTCACGGACTCAGCCTTGGGCTGACGGCTGCATTGGTGACCACGGTGCCGGTGACACTTGGGGATGGCGCCACGATAGACGCGCGTGCAGGCCCGGTTATTTTAGCCGGGGTGATTGCCGGACCTATCGGAGGGCTGTTAGCCGCTTCGATGGGTGGCATGGCACGTGGCCTTATCGGCGGCAGTTTTGCAGTTTCAGGTATCGCCGTTTACGGGGTTTATGCGCTGACTGGAGTGGCGATCAGGTACTTTCGCTTCGTCGACACCGGATCCTTTCTCAAGCCCCGTTCGATCGCTATTGTTGTGCTCGCATCCCTTGCTGGCGCCAGCGCGATGTTTTTCCTGATCAGTCCGACATCCCGCGCGATCCTATGGTTGCAGAACGATCTGCCGTTGATTCTCCTCGCAAACACACTGTCGGTCACCTACGCAGCAATCATGCTCGGTTTTGCAACTGTTTTTCTGCAGAAATCTGCGGAAATCATCGAGCTGAATGAGACGCTGAACCTTGCCAAGCGAGCGGGTCGTTTTGGCATTTGGGACTTTGATATTAACTCGGGAAAGTTGGTGTGGGACGAGCGCTCCAAGGCGCTTCATGGTGTGACAGACGCTGCCTTCGAAGGCGTTTTCGAAGACTGGTCGCGCAATGTGCACCCGGACGACCTGCCGAAGACAGAAGAAGCTTTTGCGCAGGCACTTGCGAATAACAAGATCTTCGACACTGAGTACCGGGTACTGCTGCCCGACGGAACTCAAAAGTCGATCAAAGGAGATGCCCTGGTTCTGAGGGACACTGCGGGCAACGCAACCCGCGTTGTCGGAACAAATCTCGACCTTACAGATATTCGCACAGCCGAAGCGAAACTTGCCGAAGCCCGCTCGGTCGCGATTCAGGCGCAGAAATTTGAAACGATCGGCCAGCTTACTGGTGGCGTGGCCCACGACTTCAACAACCTACTTGCTGTGATCATGGGCAACCTGGAGATGTTGAAACACGAACTCCAGACCGAGGCATTTGATCGCGAAGAGACCAGCAAGCTGATCGAGGTCAGTATCGATGCGACTGTCAGAGGAGCCGAGTTGACGCAAAACATGCTGGCGTACGCGCGCAAGGCACAATTGATGCCCGTCCTCGTCGACCTGAACCAGGTGGTTCGAGAAACGGAAAAATGGGTCAGGCGAACCATCGAAAGTAGAATTGAAATCGAAACCGTGCTGCAGGCGGGCCTGTGGCCGATACTTGCAGACAAGAGCTCCCTGCAAAGTGCCATGGTCAACTTGTTGGTAAACGCCCGTGATGCTTGTGCTGGACCAGGTCGAGTGACCGTCGAGACAAGCAACATACGCGTGGACGAGAAACACGTCGACGCAAGCTATGAAGACATTTTACCAGGCAGCTACGTCATGCTGGCAGTGACAGATAACGGTGTTGGTATGGATAAGGAGACCGTTGACAGAATATTCGATCCTTTTTTCACGACTAAATCCGTAGGTAAAGGAACTGGGCTGGGATTATCCATGGTGCAGGGATTTGTAAAACAGTCTCAGGGATCGATCAGGGTTGACTCGCAGCCAGGCGCAGGAACGAGTTTCAAGCTCTATTTCCCAGCGGCTTCGGATGCTTCGATTGAGGTGCATCCCACCACCTCGAATGAGTCCACAGCAGTGATCAAAGAAAATTTCAGCGGCCGCATTCTTCTGGTTGAGGACGAACAGGACGTCAGGAATGCCCTGCAGAAAATTCTAACGGCCGCAGGTTATGACGTAACAACCGCAGCAAGCGGAGACGAAGCCTTAAGACTGTTCATGCGCAACGATCAATTCGACCTGATCGCCACCGATATCACCATGCCTGGACACCTTCAAGGACCATCGTTGGCAAGAAAGATCCGCAAAATGCGCCCCGAAAAGCAATTCATATTCCTGTCTGGGTACGCCAGCGAGGCGACCGGGCAGCACGGTGATCTGACGACCGACGACATTCGACTTATGAAGCCAATTTCACAATCCGAGCTGCTGCATGCCATCGCCAAACGTCTTACCACACAGCCATAAGCCAGGTGTGGCGCATTCAGCTGGGCATTGATTTATTCAACAACTCGCCATCAACATAAACCCACCCAAGCTGCGTGCGGCGGAACCTGCTTCTTTCATGCAGACGATGCCCACGGCCATCAATCTTGAAGCGTGCGACAAACTCAACTAAGCCCTGCTCATCACCCTTGGAACCCGCCTCCACATGACGGATTTTCAAACCCAACCAACGCTGGCGTTCATCAAGATGCAGCTGCGCTGGGCGTGTCGCTGCATCCCACGTTGCTAACAGATATTTTTCGTTGCAATTGACATAGGCGCTGTAGCGCGATCGCATGAGGGCTTCCGCGGTAGATGCCTGCTTTTCACCATGCAGCAACGGCCAGCAGCAGACATCGGCCAGCTCTCCACTGTCACACCAACATTTTTCCTTGGCTGTTTGCATTGCGACACCATCAAATCTGATTGTATAAAGCTTAACAGGCGCTCGAGGCTGTAGGCTGTCGGGGTAGACCGATCGTGAACAGTGGTGTGAGCGGATGCTTATTCTTTGTCTTCGACCTCGTAATACACTGAAATCATCCAGTCCTGATAGCTTTCGTCCAGAGTCTTGAACTGCGCGGTCAGCTCCTTCACAAAAGTCGTTTCAATGGGCTGCCCTCTATTTGGCCACAGGCGAAATTTCACCCGTAAAAATTCTTTCTTGGCGTCCAATTCAAAACGTCCGATCACGGAAGGATTGGAAATTAATATGCCAGGATATTGTTTGTATATTCCATTCATTCGCTCAGTAGCTATGGCAACCATCTGGTTGCGGAGTTGAGCATCACCAATGAGCGTCACGTCGGCAATACAGCGTATATATCCTTTTGGGTAATTGATTACGTTATTGACAGTACGGTTAGGTATGAACACCCGCGCGCCGAGAGCGTTTTCGAGCTCAACAAATCGCATAGTGATGCCTTTCACCTTGCCGATCTGCCCGCTTATTTCCACCAGATCGTCAACGTCGAATAAGTCGGAGAAGATGAACGTCAGACCCGTGACAACATCCTGCACGACACCCTGGGAGCCGAATCCTACGGCCAGACCGATGACCGAAGCACTGGCAAGATATGCGGTCAGTGAGACCCCCAGTTCCCGTAGAATCAATCCGAAAGCAAAGAAATAGACACAGAATACAAGCACGCTGCTGGTAAGGGTAATGATTGAGCGGAGTTTCTGGTGCTCTATTTTTCCATCAGAACCCAGCAGCGCGGAACCCTGCCGGATCAGAAAAACAACCAGATGCGCCAGCGCCGAAAAAACAATAAATACCAACAGACGGATTGGCGTTGATAGATCTGCGAGAAGCTGGTCTATGGTTTCAAACATACATGCTGCATTCTCCGATCAGCACTATTGATGCATCCAACGCATCGTTCATTCCTGCATAGTTTGCAGATGATCAACCAGCGCGTTGATTCTCGCCTGAGTCTGCGTAGCTGGGTCCCGCATGTCGTTGTCTCTACGACTGAACTGCCACCCCCATACAGGCATCTCGGTTGACCCATGCACGGCTCGCATCTCCCGTCCGTCAATTTGCCGCATCACGGCCATACGCGGAAACACACCGTTGTTCATCGCGCTTAACGTACGCAGATTCGATGGAGGCGCGCCTAAGTGCGGGACCATGGGGCCATCACCCGCACCAGTTTGCCCGTGGCAGGATGCACAATTTTCTCGATATAGCCTGGCACCATCAAAGCTGGGGTTTGGATCACCTGCCTTAGGCGCAAGGCATCCAGAAAGACCTAGAATCAGCGTGGCTGACAGTATCCAACTGATCGTGACGCTTCTTTGCATGGTATCCACCTTAAACAGGAAATCGTCCAATTTAATGTATTATGCACAGACTGCAATGAGGGGTTTCCCCAGAGGATCAGAGGCGCAGACTTTTCTGACTAAAAGCAGACTTAACGATTGGCTTTGTTGTGCGTGGACGCCTGATGGCGCCGCACCTGCGGCGATCGGCGTGTTTCATGTTTCGTCGCACGTCCAGCAACCCGCGCACGCCAGCGCTTGAAAGCGCGAGTGCCGAGGTTTGTGCGCATGAGATGGATAACCTCGCGCTCACTCAGACCGCTTGATCTCTGGATGGCATCAAAAGAGGTACGGTCCTCCCACGCCATCTCAACAATACGGCTCAGTTCACCCGGGCTTAAATTCGCTGTCATTCGCCAGCCCAGCGCCGAGCTAATCCCTGCAGACCTGGCCGCAGCCGCAGGAACCCACGATACCCACATTCCAGCGCTGCTAGCAGCGGGCGCCATCTGGCTGCTATACCGAGTGGCCGCAACAACGGCACGGCGCGCCACATGGCCGCAAACGCGGCAGCGCCGGATACCAGAGAGCCGTCTGTGTCGCGGACGTGCAGTCGGGCCAGCAGAGTCTCTCGATCGACCGGGCAGCAGGCAGCACTGTGCAGGTCGATGAAATCGATAGCGCCGCGTTTGTCCAACCGCCGCATGAATGCTATTTCACGAACACACAAAGGGCAGCCGGAGTCGAACCATACGGTGACTTGCTGTTGGCCGCTCATGTCCGCAGCTTTTTTTGGTAGAGATCCATGACGATCATCTTACATAGAGGAGATAAACATCCCGTGAAAGGGTTTTGCGATTCGCGACTTAAAATTTGAAGAAAATTATGTGATTCTGCTGGCTGATTATAATTGACCGCGTCCCTGTCGAACCCTGCAGGAAAGGACTACCCTTGAAACAAATCCCCGCACACAGGTTTTAGCCCGTGCCAGATAAAGCTGAGGTAGCAAGCCCAGGTTCGTTTGCTGACCGATTCAAGACCCATGTCTGGCATACAGACCTGGAGGACATGCCCCGCAGCCGACGTTTGCTGGCAAGATCCGTGCGGATTCTCACCCAGGTTGCAAAAGACATCTGGGACGGACAGCTGACTCTGCGTGCGATGAGTCTGGTTTATACAACACTGCTGTCCCTTGTACCGCTACTGGCAATCAGCTTCTCGGTCCTGAAGGGTTTTGGCGTACATCGCGAAATTGAACCTTTCCTGATTACTTTTCTGGCGCCACTGGGTGACAAGGCGGAGGAGATTGCTCTACGGTTTGTTGAATTTATCGACAACACCAGCGTGTCGGTGCTCGGTTATATTGGTTTCGGCATGCTCTTCTACGCCGTTATCTCTTTGATGCAGAAGATCGAACGGGCGTTCAATTTTGTCTGGCGGGTGGATCGAGACCGTTCGTTTTCAGAACGGGTGAGAGATTATCTGACCCTGATCTTTGTAGGTCCGACGCTGATGGTGGCAGCGACAGGGATGTGGGCCACCATCATGAACACCAGCATCGTGGAAACACTGGCCGATGTTGCACCTCTGGGCTGGCTGCTAGATCTGGCCACACGTGCCATACCAATAGCACTGGTTATTTTCACTTTCACCTTTGTCTACGCCTTTGTGCCCAACATAAAAGTCCGCTGGCGACCCGCCTTGGTAGGGGGTGTTATCTCGGGCCTGCTGTGGAATGCCGGCGGTCTGGGTTTTGCTGCTTTTGTCGGCAATTCGGGAAACTATTCCGCCATCTATTCGGGTTTTGCAACGGCAATATTTTTCATGATCTGGCTATACGTGGCCTGGATGATTCTGCTGATTGGCTGCAGCATCAGCTTCTATATACAGAATCCTTATTTCGCCAGTCAGCAGTCGGTGATTTTAAGTATTCGCATGCGTGAAAAGCTGGCTTTTTCTATCGCTGCGATAATCGGCGAACGTTACTATCAGGGTCAGTCGCCGCTAAGCGCTGACTCCATCGCTGACAAACTGGCTGTACCCTCACAATTGGTAGAGACTGTACTGGCACCCATGGAAGCTGCACAACTGGTGATTAGAACCCAAGGTGAAGGTACAGGGTATGTACCCGCTCGATCCTGGGAAACAATTCCAATCAGTGATCTGATCGCCTGTATCCGTAGCCAGGATGAATCGATAATCCACAAAACGTTACCAATTGAAGATACTCATGCATCTTCATATATGTGGGCCTCTTTTGAAGACGGGCTTGCAAGTGGTGTGGCCGGGTTTACCCTTAAAGACCTTGCCAATGAAGACGGGCAAAATAACAGTCTCCAGCAGAAGTGAGGTAACTCCATGCTACCCCTGGAAGGTAAAACAGCCATAGTCACCGGCGCCGGCCGGGGTGTCGGCGAGGCCACGGCTAAACGTCTATCTGCCGCGGGTGCCCACGTTGTGGTTAATGATCTGGATGAGAGCGAAGCAAACGCCTGCGTGGCCGCAATCAACTCAACCGGAGGTCTGGCAGTCGCCTGTGCTGGAGATGTTACAGCCGCGAATTTTCCCGAGCGCCTCATCGATACCGCGATCGAAAGCTTCGGCGGCATTGACGTTCTGGTGAATAATGCCGGTTACATCTGGAATGGCGCCATTCAAAACCATTCGGATGAGCAATGGCAGGCGATGCTCGATGTACACGCTACCGCACCGTTTCGGATTCTACGCGCGCTGGCGCCATGGCTGCGGGAGACTGCCAGGCGTGAGCAGGCCGAACAGGGCGCCGCGTCTGTACGCAAGATCGTCAACGTCTCCAGCGTCTCCGGCACCACTGGCGCGGCAACTCAGATTGCATACTCGGCCGGCAAAGCAGCTGTGGTGGGTATAACCCGAACACTCGCCAAAGAATGGGGTCGTTACAACGCAACCGTTAACTGTGTGGCGTTTGGCCATATCGAAACCCGACTCACCCAGAGTTACAGCGGCGAGCCGCCCACCATCAGCGTTGGCGACCGGGATTTTCGTGTGGGTCTGAGTGAACAACAGATTGATTCATCTATGCGGGCTTCTCCGCTCGGGCGCAGCGGCAGACCCGAAGACGGCGCGGGCGCAATCTACCTGCTGTGCCTGCCCGAGTCTGATTTCATTACCGGCGAAGTACTGACTTGTTCCGGTGGTGCGCAGTTGTAGAGGACACGCAAACATGGCAACGGTCATTCTCCACCAGTTCCCCTCCTCCCACTACAACGAAAAAGCCCGTTGGGCGTTAACCTACAAACATGTTGATCACACTCGGCAGAGCTACCTGCCGGGGCCCCATATCAGCCAGATTAAAAAGCTCTCCGGCCAGAGTTCTGTACCGGTCCTGGAGTGGGACGGCGCAATTGTCCCGGCTGTGAGAACAATAGCCTGGGCAGGAATGATCAATCACAACCGATACGCAACAAGTGTCTTCGGAAAAGGTAAACCGCGATTCACCATGTTTTTCTACCGGCTTGCGTTTCCTTTTGTAAAACCACTGATCGCCAAAGCCAATGGCGTAAATCCTGAAAATATTGAGAAGTCGAAACTAATAGTCCAGTCCTACCTTGATGAGATCAACGAAGCTGTGTCGAATACCGGCTACCTGATCAGCGCGCAGTTCAGTGCGGCAGATCTGACAGCAGCAGCTTTGCTGGCGCCACTTGCCAACCCTGACCACGAAGATATGAAACGGCCTAGCCCGATTGTCGACTCCTTCAAAGAAATACTGGACACCTACAGCCGCCACCCCACAATTAGCTGGGTCGAAAAACAATACAGAGAGCAACGAAGCTGAACTATGGACTGCAGGCCGTAGATTCAATCTTGGCACCAATTTTCCATCCCGCAGTGATTCGCAGCGGTTCAGTCTCTAATTAATCGATTAACCCTTTAGCAACTTGCAGATACTCACCAGCAATCTTCGCTGTCGTGAATTGGCGTAAGTGTTCCTGTAATTCCAGCTCGTCTATAACCAGAGGATTATGCAACTCCTCTACAATGGCAGTTGCCAGAGCAAGCGGCTCATCCGGAGCAACAAGCACGCCGAATTTTCCATTAGCAAGGACTTCTCTGGGTCCTGAGGGGCAATCGGTAGCAATCACCTTCAACCCGGCATGTAATGCTTCTACCAATACGTTCCCGAATCCCTCCCAACTGGATGACTGCAAGAACACATCACTTCCAGCCAGCTTCTCGGGCAAATTCTTAACAAATCCACGCAAGGTAATTTGCATACTCAAATCAAGCTCATCAATCAACGCTTGCAGCTGTTCGCTAAGCGCCCCTGTACCATATAAATCAAGATGGCAGGATACATTAAACCTGTCGGTCAAAATCTTAATCGCTCGAATCATAACCGGATAATTTTTTGCTTGAGTCAGCCGGCCCGCGGCGATGATTCTGACCGAATCACTATTTGGCGTCCGCCTGGCAAGTGACTTCGCCTCTTGCAAAACAGGGTTATAGATTCGCTCTACAGACTCCGGTTTCAGCCGGAAGTATTCAATGAGTGAATCTCTTGCGCCATCCGATACCGCAACCACCTTTGCAGCATGAGTGCAGGCCTGCCTGTGGAGCAGTCGCAGGAACCGGGTTTTGAATGACAAACCCACTGCGGCATCGCGAACCCGCAGATCACTGTGCACAGTAGCAATGCAGGGCGGCGGATCCGGGACCCATGACGAGGCTATCCAGGCGGTAATATTCGCCATATCCGTAATACCAATAACGACATCTACGGATAACTTTCTTAAAAGTGATCTCAGGCCAAATATTCGCAATGGAAGGAATCTGTTTGAGGGTTTGTACAGTTTTATACGAGGATCGAGTGCGTAGTTCTCGTCACCCTTTTCATCCCAGTAGAAGATCCCGACTTCGTGACCAAGTTCAATCATCTCGGCCGCCAGATTGACAGCCACTCGCTCAGCCCCGCCTCCGCCTACGGAACTGGCGACTATAAGAACATTGATAGGCCCTCTACTAGGCATCAAGGCCAATTGCACACAGACAACTCCGTGCGGCTGTTTCAATACTTACCATATTTTTTTTCATATCAATCGAATCTGCCGATTGATCAGCCAGAACTTTCTCAATTATTGGCCATGGGTCCCGACTCAATAACGTTTCTGCAGGCACCACGCAATCCAGCCCTCCAACCTGCTGCCAAACAGCTGACACTTTAGGATCCCACGAAATTGGCGCCACTTTTTTGCCTAAACCCCGAGCGACAATACCCGCGTGCATCCTGGTGCTAACCATCGACGATAACTTAGAGATTTGTTCAACCAACACTTTTACACATACCGGGCGGGGTTCAAGCTCAATTGTCACTCCCTTGTTGTGCAGATGTGAAATGACCTTTTCAGCAGTCGAGTAATCATCCCGACTTCCATTAGTTAACAGGCGAACTTGTCTACCGGAGTTAGATGCTCCGAGTAAAACTCTTGCCCAGAAATCAAAATACTGGTTATCCGTGAGCGCACTCAGTGATGGAACGTGTCGCCGAAAATCATTCGCCGGCTGAATATTCACACCTAGAATATTGTTCTGATCCAAACCAACCAGCTTCGGGTTCAGTTCTCCGATAACAAAGGCCGGGTCTGGATGAACATTCACCGACACATTGCGGGACACATAATTGGAAAGAAATGCAGCACTGGACTGGTCTCGAGCCGAGACATAAACTGCCTGTTGGAGAACTAATGAATAGAGCTTGGCAGCCAGATATCCCCAGCGAGGATCAGAACCACAGCCGAATACCGCTAAAGGTTTACCGTGCAGCTTCGCCAGTCGGGCTACTTCGTAAACCCTCGGAGGAAAGCGGAAAAATCTGTCGGTTAATATTTGCCCGCCGCCAATAACGACAGCATCAGAAGACACAATAGCTCTGCTCCACTGCCGCACCTGTCTGTTTCTTTTCAAGACGTACCAATCCAGCGCAGCGTGGGCTCTACCAAGTTGCCGATTGTTTTGGAACGGTTTTCTAACGAGCTTCCTTAGAGCGCTGGCTTCCTTGACCTCGGTCTGCGTACCCTCGACCGGCTCAGCCCGACCCGACAGATCTACCGGAATTGTCGTTACGCCGTGTTTGCCAAAAAGATAGCTGATACAATCATAAATGACACCGTCGCCAAGATTGGAGCTGTGTATTTCCCCAAACACAGCGACTCGTTTTACGTTTCCAGAAGTCATCGCCTGAATATGCTCTTGAGCAAACTCAACTTTTCTCGCAAACTAAATTCATCGCTCAGCAACACGCTGCCAACAAAAACCCTCCATTTTTTTTCGCTTTTCGCCAGCTTCGCCGCCAGGCTTCTGCGCCTGAAGGTCCTGTCAATCCAAGCCTGTATTTTGACGGCGAGTGACTGGTCTATAAACCCCTGCAATGAGGCCTTTTCGAGATCAACTGCATGTTGCCTGCAGATTTCATCAACACTCATGGAATGTTTAGAAGCACTTGCAGACAGATTGCCGGGATGACGACGATAGTAAATGCCCGGTTCAGAAGAAATGACACCAGATCCAAGCATCAGGCTTCTCAGCAAATAAGGCGTATCTTCAGTGGGACACGATTCGTTCAAATCACCAAAGACTTCATAGACACGTTTGCGAAACCCTCGCGAAGCACCGGTTAGATGACGAACCCTTCCCGAAAGATAATCTAGCAGGCTAACTTCTCTGGATTCAAACAACGGATTTCCAGCGGACTTCGCAACAGTCTCGCCGCGGCTGTCTATCACAATATCCGTAAAACAAATGATAGTGGCACTTGGGTGCTCACGAAACAAATCTACGGTTCTGGAAACTCTATAAGGCAAAGAAATATCGTCGCCAGCGGCCACAACGATGATTTCTCCTTTGGCTTTGGAGACAAGCTCATTGAAGTGTCTGGCAAGGCCACGGTTAACGGGGTTTCCATTTAGAATGACTTCATGCGGTCCAGAGTAATTGTCCGCCAACACTTTCATATGATCGAAAGTTGCATCTGTCGAACAATCATCTGACAAAATTATTTCTAGCGGTGAATAGTCCTGCTTCAGGGCTGCCTCAACGGCTTGTCGAACGTATTGTTCCTGGTTATAGGCCAGAAGTACAAATGTAACCAGAGGATGGTCAATCAGATTACTCATCCCATACACCCAACTTCGTCATCAAGCGACGACTCAAACCTGCCATACGATCTGCGAATCCACTGAGCGTTGTCATCCGTCCTATGCGCGCCAACGCATACAAGCCCAGTAAAGCTGCCGCTGGAATACCCAACCCGGCGCCAAGCCACTTAGACCAAACACCAGAAATGAATACCATGATCGTAATAACCATCAACAGAGCCAACTGCCTATAGACACGCGTCTGCCATTTAAAACCGGTTCTGCGTCGAGCAAGCCAGTACACCATGGACAAAAAAACCGCATACTTGCCGAGAGAAGCAATGCCAGTGGCTTCAATATCAAAAAATGGCAGAAGCACCCAAGTCAATCCGACTAACACCAGCATCGCGATGAATTCAATCAGCATTACCAAACGGCCTTCACCGGACGCCAGAATAACGATACCCAATGGCCATGATGCTACTTTTAGAACATCCGCCAACACTTGCCAACGGAACACTTCAGCGGCTTCTTTAAACTGGTTCGAAAACAGTAATTCGATCACCCACGGTGCAAGGCCTAACATGGTCACCAGCACTGGGGCAGCCAGCAACAACGCTACCTCTGCCTGCTCGTTCACCAACTGATTGGTGGCTGCAGAATCGCGAATCGCCGCGGTGAGGCGCGGATAATAGTCCGCACCCATAGCGCCCAGTACGAAGCCGATATACATAGCCGAAATCATCCAGGCAGCCTGAAAATTACCTAACGCCTCCGCGCCAAGTTCCTGCTGCACAATCATTCGAACGGCAAGCTGACCAACGGGGCCAGCCAGACCAGCCACCATGAAAGCAAAGCCCAGCCTAGCTAAAGTTTCCCATTGTTGCTGCAACTCGCGAAACTGCGTTGGCGAAGCGGTCATTCTGGGTAGACGGGAAACGAACCAATGACCTAAGAGGAAGCTGGATAAAGGCCCCGCGAGCACAAAAATCAACACACCTTTGTCGCCTAAGAGCAGAAGTGCACCTAGACCAAGCAAGGTCGACAACAATGTCGATAAGACGCTAACCCGCGCAACATCACCGATGCGTCGCAAACCATTTAATAATGCACCCTGTGACCCTGCTGCTACTGTCAGGGCAACCCCTATCGCTAACCACCCAACAGTTCCAGCAGCACCTGCATCACCGATGACCGCTGTAGCAAGACCGTCCCGCAACAACCAGAACACACTGCCCCCAACTGTTGCCAGCCCTATAGTCCCCAAAAACAACGCTCTTCTCGCCGCCGATACCGCCTGGACATCATCGTTGGCATTAGCTTCGGCAATTAGCCTCGTCCCCACGCTACCAAAACCAAGCGCACTCACGGTAGATGCTGTGGCCATCAAGTTTTGCAGAAGCCCGATTAGGCCTACACCTGCCGGACCTAGAAGCACAGCAACAACTTTGGTGCGCAGCAGAGCTATCAGGATGTTGACGACCGAAGCGCCGCCAATAATTGAGGACGAGCGCAGAATCTGACGATATGAATCGCTCAACCTAATCCAGAGCCCTTATCACTCTAACTGGATTGCCACCGGCAATAACGTGACTTGGAATATTCCTAGTCACGACAGTTCCATTAGCGATGACCGATCCTTCACCAATGCTGACCCCTTTCAAGATTTTTACGTTCGAGCCGAGGAATACCTTATTGCCGACCTCCACTGGCTGAGCCCACTCCGGTTTTGAGGCACCCCGCTCATCAAATTTCAGGCTGTGAAAATCACTATCCAAAATCTCTACATTTACACCGATGAGGCAATCTTCACCTATGTCAATGAAGGTATGTTCGGCAATGGCGCAAAAGTTGTTATTGATCGAAGTCCTGGCGCCGATCGATATGCTGGCTGATTCTTTCCTGGCCTCAAGATAAGCGTAAGTCGAGAAAAACGATGGCGACGGATGGGAACCAATAGTGACGCTGTCGCCAATCGTGACATTCCCCAATCCGTTGCATTGGATCGGCTGCAGGCGACGCGGTGCCCCGGAAATGGAATTCGTCGAAACCACGCGGTAGAAAGCACCTCGCAACAGTTGAACGGCACGACAGATCAAACTGATGACGCGACGCCGTATGTTATTCATCAACAGCCAGAACCTCTTCGATGACTTTTTCAACCGCGTCCCGATCAAGCTGCGGCCCCATGGGCAAACTCAGCACCTCGCTCGCCATCCTTGAGGCAAGTGGAAAGGCATCCGCTGTGACTCCCAGTTGAGAGTACGCCTGTTGGTCGTAAGGAGGAATCGGGTAATGAACCTGGCTGCCAATGCCCGCGTTCACGAGCTTGTTCTGCAGTTCGTCTCTATCCGGATGACGAACAACAAACAAGTGCCATACTGGTTCAATTCCATCTGGGACCAACGGTAAAGCTAGCCCGGTGCCGGTCAACCCACGCAGATACTGGTCCGCGATGACAGACCGTCTTGCGTTCCACGCATCCAGATATTGGAGCTTCACCCGCAGAACTGCCGATTGAATTGGATCCAGTCGACTGTTGTAGCCCTGTATTTTATTAACGTTCTTCTCGCTGGAGCCGTAATTACGCAGGAGACGAATGCGCTGCGCCAGCTCAGGATCATCTGTTGTGACCGCACCACCATCCCCCAGAGCGCCAAGGTTTTTTGAGGGATAAAAACTCCAGGCCACCGCGTCGCCATGAGCGCCAAGGCGTTTTCCCTTATAGCGGGCGCCATGGGCCTGAGCGGCATCTTCCAGTACTTTTAAGCCGTGCTTGTGAGCAATCTTCAATATTGGGTCCATATCGGCAGGCTGCCCATATAAATGAACCGGCAAAATCACTTTTGTCGCTGGCGTAATTGCCGCTTCGATTAATCCCGGATCAATGTTGTAGGTAGCCTCGAAAGGCTCCACTGGCACCGGGGTTGCTCCGCACTGGCTTACCGCCAGCCAGGTGGCAATGTAAGTGTTTGAAGGAACAATGACCTCATCACCTGGACCAACGTCCATCGCACGCAGAGCGAGGTGCAACGCATCCAGACCGTTACCGACACCGATGCAGTACGAAGCCTCACAATAGGCTGCGTACTCAGTTTCAAACGCCTCAACTTCGGGGCCAAGGATGTACCAGCCACTGGCCAGAAGACGTGCAATTGCTTCATCTATCTCGGCCTGCAGTTCTCTGTAGGCTGCACCCAGATCCAGAAAAGGCACTTGCACTAGGCTAGCCCTTTTTCTTTGAGGAACTCGTTATAGTCGCGAATGTAATCCCCGGCATCGTAAAACTCGGATGCAAAAACCAACAGAACGGCATCTGCAGAGTATTTATACTGGATACCCCAGACCATAGGCGAAAGATGTAAACCTAAGTCGGGACGATCCAACAGAAACTCCTCTCGATTTTTGCCGTCGTCAGCCACCACCGACACACTACCGCGCACGCAAACAAGGAACTGATGACACTGACGATGCGCGTGCTCGCCTCGAGTCTCGACACTGGGCACATCAAATACAATGAAATAACGTTTGGCCTCGAAAGGTATAGAACGATCGAACTCTCCCACTGTAAGGGCTCCACGGATATCGGCTACCCGATGCATTGGATGTAACTCGACCCCTGACACCTTTGACCTGCCGGTTTGAGCGGGTTGCGGCTCCGAGTCGGTATCAGCCCTCTCTAAACTGGCATCTACATAGCCAACAATTCTGGCCGGGTTACCGACAACAATAGCGTTAGCCGGAACCGATCGCGTCACAACGGCCCCCGATCCCACCATCGCATTTTGCCCGATTTTTAGTCCAGGCAATATTGTTGCCCCTGCTCCAATGGATGCGCCTGACTCTATGACTGTGGTTAATGGTGTATTCTGGTGTTTCAGGCTGCGAGGGAATTTATCGTTAGTAAAGGTTGTGTTAGGCCCAACAAATACGTCATCGCCCAGCCGCAGACCGTCCCATAGTTGCACGCCATTCTTGATTGTGACTCGATCACCGACAACAACATCATTCTCAATGAAACAGTGGGAGCAGACATTGCAATCAACTCCGATCACGGCATCAGGGAGCACAACCACGTATTGCCAGAATTTAGTGCCGACGCCAACTCTATCAGTCAAAACATCTGACAGTTCATGGACGAAAATGTCCCCAGCGGTACTCATCACTAAACTCCGTCCTTGAATTCTGTTTGTTCTCTATACATTTTAATTTTTCCGGATCAGCCCATTGATGGGAGTTAGGTAAAACTTTAGCCGGGCAAAGCCAGGAGGTAGTATCTACTTATGACGAAATTATTTTGAGCTATCGGACACAGTGATAACACTTTATTCTGGAGCCAGCGGTAACACAATTGGACATTCGCCATTTTAAATTAACCGATTCAAAACTATTCGGCCCGGGTTCCTCTGGCCCGCAAAAAACAAAGAACTCGATTTAAAGCAGACCTGAGCGCCTGACAACAGTCTATCTAGTTGATTGGATACATCTTGAGGTAGACACTTAAAGTACGCTTAGAAACAACCACACCTCTATCAAAGACAATGCTATGACCGACAACAACGATGCGAGTGGACCGTTAAAAGTTTCCCAGGATCGTATCGACCATGCTGCACGTTACATCCCCAATCTTCCCCAAGGCCTGGTCGAGTTTTTCAAAGCGCCTAAACGAACAATTGGCGTTTGCTTTCCAGTGGAGTGTGATGACGGTTCAGTACGCACCTTTCAGGGCTTTCGTGTTCTGCATAGCAATATCCTCGGTCCTGGAAAAGGTGGTATTCGATTCCATCCAGACCTCACGCGTCCAGAAAGTGAATCCCTTGCAGCTTTAATGACATGGAAGTGCGCTCTTGTACATCTCCCTTTTGGTGGCGCCAAAGGGGGTGTGCAGTGCGATCCAAAAGCCCTGAGTGAAGGTGAATTGCGCAGATTGACACGCCGATTTACGAGCGAACTGGGCGACAATATCGGCCCACATACCGATATACCCGCGCCAGATATGTACACAGACGAGAGAACCATGGCGCTCATCTACGATACTTACGATGCGTTTCACAAAGGAGCAAACAATTTTGCTGTTGTCACAGGCAAGCCGATAGAGCTAGGCGGCTCCCTGGGGCGGCAGGAGGCCACTGGCCGTGGTTGCCTTTTTGCCACCGAGCGGTATCTGCAAATTATGCAGGACCCTGAATTATCTCAGCTGGATGGCGCACGCATTGTTATTCAGGGCGCCGGTAATGTTGGGTGGGCGGTAGCCAGACTGTTTGCACAGGCGGGCGCAAAAGTCATCGCGATCAGCGATTCCACCGGAGGCGTACTGCGCAAAGATGGTCTGGATCTAACGGACGTAGCGGAACACAAAGTAACGGAAGGCAGCGTGGTGGGTACGCCCAATACGCTGACCATCAGTAACGAAGATCTGTTACAACTGGAGTGCGACATTTTGGTACCCGCATCTATCGGTGAAGTTATTCATGTGGGTAACGCAAATCAGATCAATGCCAAATTGATTGTTGAGGCGGCCAACAAACCGGTTACGCCGGAAGCGGATGCCGTGTTATGGAGCCGCGGCATAAGAGTACTGCCAGATATTCTGGTCAACTCGGGTGGTGTGATTGTCAGCTACTTTGAGTGGGTGCAGAACCTTTCCAATGAGCAGTGGGAACTACAGGAAATTAATCAAAAGCTCCAGGCTAAGCTTTATAAAGCGGTTGATACGGTCCTCGAGAACTGGCGCAGAATGGCTTCTGATCACAAGGCGCTGGAATTTCCAGACTATCGCACTGCCGCGCTCGTTACCGCCATCGAGCGGGTTTCTTCTGTTACGCTTCATAGAGGCATCTGGCCGTAAGATACAAGAAAGGCGGGCATCACCTGACCAAACTCATTTAGCAACGAGCCAGATAAAGTTGAATGACCAAGTACACCCAGTAAGAGCCTTTACACCCCAACCCGGCGTACAAGTACCCTTGGGGACAACGCGACCACTACCCCGCTTCAAAGATTCAATCGTCGATTTAGAACTTGGATGTGGCACAGGCATGTTTGCATTGAACTATGCAGAACAGCATCCGGAACGGCACCTGATAGCTATTGAGCAAACGGTGAATAAGTTCAATACGTTTAACCGGGCGGTTGAACTGCATCAACCCCATAACCTCACACCTGTTCATGCCGACGCCGCATTGTGGGTAGAGCGATACGTGCCTGAGCACAGCATTGAACGGCTGTTTATTCTGTATCCCAATCCTTATCCGAAGAAGAAACATAGAAATCTGCGTTGGCATTACATGCCGGCCATGCACGCGATTCTCAACGTGATGCAACCCGGCAGTCTCATCTCATTGTGTACCAACTTACGCTGGTTAATTGATGAAGCGGCGATCCAATTCCACCAGGGTTGGAAGTTGGATTTAGTTGCTCTTGAAACCATACAGCCAGGCTCACGTGCGCCGTTAACACGATTCGAGAAAAAATATCTGGAACGGGGTGAGACGTGCTTTGAGCTGCGGTTGCGGGTACCGGACAGATAATTTGCCCATGGCAGAAAGGTCAACCTTGAACCCATAGCTCGAATAGCGCATCGTTGCACGTCAGCGCATAGCAATCCTGTTAGAAGCCGAGCTTAGAAAATTATGTTAACACTCTTCCCCGCGAGATCGATCATCACCATGAACCCGTCTGCACCTCGCGCAGAAGCAGTCCTCGTGCGCGACGGCCAGATCCTTGAAGCAGGTCCGCTGGCTAAAATGCAGCCTTGGCTGAGCGGCCAGCCTCATCAGGTTGATGATCGATTCAAAGACAAAATCATCTGTCCTGGATTCATCGATCCACACCTGCACCCAACGATGGCCGCGGTCCTTCTGCCAATGGAGTTTGTAACCGCCATGCGATGGAAGCTGCCCTGGGGAACGGTAGAGCCGACCACAACCGAAGCAGATTTCACAGCCCGCATGATGGCGTTGCACGCAGAGAAACCATCTGATGAACCGCTTTTTATCTGGGGTTACCACCAGTTATGGCACGGAGAGATGAACCGGGCACGAATCAACGCTATCACCGCAGAACGGCCAGTCGTTGTCTGGCATCGATCGTTTCACGAGCTCTATATGAACGATGGCGCCCTGGCGATGACGTCTATCGTCGAGGGTGAAATCAAGCCAGACAGCCAGATCGACTTTGCTAATGGGCACTTTTACGAAAATGGCCTTGGCTTTGCCATAAATCGGCTCAACCCATGGATATTGGCACCCAAACAATACGCAGCCGGTTTGGAGCGATTGAAATCTGCAGTTCACCACGGCGGCCACACCAGCATTGGGGATCTCGCCACGGGTTTATTCGATTTTGAAACAGAAGCCAGCGCACTGGCCGATCTGCTTGAGGGTGATGACGTGCCCTTCCGCACTCGATTAGTTGCACACGGCTTGCGCATGAGCGCCGGCGGCAGATCTGTTGAGGAAGGCGTTGCCATGGCAGACAGTCTGCCAGACCGGAACAGCCATCGTTTACGCTTTGGCAAACACATCAAGCTTTTCAGCGATGGCGCTTTTTTCAGCCAGCTAGCGCAGCTTAAAGAGCCTGGCTACATAGACGGGCATCACGGCGAATGGCTGATGCCACCGGAGATGCTGGAGCGCAATATCCGCGCCTACTGGCACGCAGGGTATCAGATTCACGTACATGTTTGCGGTGATTTGGGATTGGAGCTTGCGATAGATTGTCTTGAAAAGATGCAGGCTGAGAAGCCGCGATTTAATCACGGCTTTACCTTCGAGCACTTTGGTTTCAGCAATCATGAACAGATCCGACGCATCAAAACACTAGGTGGGCAGGTTTCCGCAAATGCGTACTATCTGCACGAATTGTCAGATATTTATGCCACTAAAGGCATTGGCTATGAGCGTGCATCACAAATGTCGCGGCTGGGCTCCTGTTTCGCCAATGATATCAACACCACCCTCCATTCTGATTTCACCATGGCGCCAGCAGAACCCCTCAACAGCGCATGGGTTGCCGTGAATCGAGTGAACCACACCGGCGAGGTGATGTGCCCAGAGGAACGCCTGACTCAGACACAGGCACTTGCGGCCATTACCATCAATGCGGCACGCATCCTTGGTTTTGCTGAGGAGACGGGTTCAATCACTGCTGGAAAGTATGCCGACTTCACTGTGCTGGACGATGACCCTTTGACCTGCGACCCGATGGCGATACGCGACTTGAATATACACGCCACCGTATTCGAAGGCCGTGTCTTCGAAATCTAGGTGATGGACATTCCGATCACCATCGTTGGCGGCTATTTAGGCGCGGGTAAAACCACGTTGATCAATCGCGTATTGAATCACGAAGGCGACCTTTCGGGCCTGGCTGTACTGGTCAACGACTTTGGCGATGTGAACATTGATGCAACCCTGATTCGCGCAAATGCAGAAGACGATCAGGTCTTCGACCTGACCAATGGCTGTGTGTGTTGCACTATTCAGGATGATTTCAGTGCCAGCCTTGAAGCGCTGCAGCACCGCGACATAAAACATGTACTTTTCGAAGCCAGCGGGGTTGCTTCACCGGCAAAGTTACGCGCCCAATGCAGCTATCCTGGATTTCGCCCCACAAGTGTTTTTGTGCTGGTGGACGCTACCCAATACAATCGTCAGATGAAAGACAAATACGTTGGGCATCTAGTGCAGCAACAGGTGAGAGAGGCTGACGTGCTGGTTGTCACCAAAGCATCGATCGAAGATATAGCCGGCGCGCTTGACGGCGCCCCGGACATTCGTCACGGGGATGATCCGGAATTGTTCGATGACCTTCTAACCAGACGCCCGACGCACCCTACCTCGACTGGCCAGATGCAAGACACACCCGCGTTCACCACCACCACTTTGACGCAACGCATGCCTGTCTCCCTCGATGCGTTAGAACACTGGCTGGTTGAACTGCCTCGGTGGGTTTCTCGGATTAAGGGGTTTGTCCTCACTGACCAGGGCACCCGCCTTGTCCAAGGCAGCGGACAGAATCGAGCGTTAACACAATATGATGATGCCCAGGAGATCACAGACACCCACCGATTGGTACTGATCACCGCCCATACGCATCGCGCAGATGAGTTGAGCGCTATTAGAGCAAACTGGCCCGGCGCATAAGCTGCTGCCTGCACAACACAATCTCCAATGATGCACGTATACTGCGCAGACGAGAGTAAAAAACACAGAGGGTGCAACGATGAATCTGCAGCGCGTTTTAAAAATATTTGTGTCAACGTTGGTTGTTCTGTTATCTCAAATGAACCTGCAGGCAGAGGAAGCAGCAACACCAGCATTCAGCATGGGTAACGGCGCCAACAACTGGATTGATGTGGCCGGAGTGACCCGTAATGATTCAGTACTCACTTTTCCCGAAGTTCAAATTGATGGCAATGGCTGGTTGGTGATCCACCCTTTCGAGGACGGCAAGCCGAACGGTGACAAGTATGTCGCACAAACCTATCTGAAGGATGGGATAAACAAAAACGTAAACATTGACGTGCTCAAAGGGCTGACGCAGGGCGAGATGTTCATTGTGATGCTGCATCGCGACCTCAACGAAAACAAAGTGCTGGATTTCATTTTTATAGATGACACCAACGTTATGGATCGAGCAGTGTTTGAAGGCAGCAGAATGATAGGGCACGCTATCCCGGCACCTTAATGGCCACTGACGAGTTAAAATATGACCAAGCCTTATATACCGCCAAAAGTCTGGCAATGGGAACAGGAAACCCAAAGTCGATTCGCCAATATCAACCGACCGATCGCGGGTGCTACCCACGACAAGGCATTACCCGTTGGTGAACATCCTTTGCAGCTTTATTCGCTGGCAACACCCAATGGGGTGAAGGTCACTATCCTGCTCGAAGAACTACTGGCGATCGGTATGAAAGATGCGGAGTACGATGCGTGGCTGATAAATATCGGCGATGGGGAACAATTCAGTAGCGGTTTTGTGGACATCAACCCGAATTCTAAAATACCGGCCCTGGTCGATCACAGCACTGCAACACCAACACGTGTCTTCGAATCCGGCGCAATCATGCTTTATCTGGCGGAGAAATTTGAAGCCTTTGTGCCACTAAAAGAACCTGGACGAGCTGAATGCCTGTCGTGGCTGTTCTGGCAGATAGGCAGTGCGCCTTATCTTGGAGGTGGCTTTGGCCACTTTTATGCGTATGCCCCGGAAAAATGGGAATACCCGATCAACCGTTTTGCCATGGAGATCAAACGGCAGTTGGATGTGCTTGATCGGAATCTGGCATCGCGCAAGTTTCTATGTGGCGATGATTACAATATCGCGGATATGGCCGTCTACAGCTGGTATGGACAACTTGTACTTACCGGTCTGTATGAATCTAAAGAATTTCTTGATGTCGCTTCATATACCAACGTCATCAGGTGGGCTACAGAAATTCATAATCGACCTGCAGCAAGACGCGGCAGGAAGGTCAACAGGGCCAGCAAGAGTGGTGTGGCCGAACGCCACGATGCCAGTGATCTGGATGCGCTCGAGAAAAACTAAAGGGAACTCACATGACCGGGAACACAAACTCACTCATTTTATACGGTGTACCGTTTTCACAACCTGTCAGGGCCGTGATGTGGCTGCTGTTGAACAAACAACTGCCTTTTGAAATGGTGCTCATCAACCCTGGTTCAAAGGGAGACAATGGCAGCCGTAACCCAGCATTCCTGGCGAAAAACCCTGGGGGCACGATTCCAACCATTGAGGAGCCTGATTCAGGGTTCGCGCTCGGTGAAGCCCACGCCATCATGTGTTACCTCAGCAACAAACATGAATGGGACGATGTCTATCCAACGGATCATCAGGCCCGCGCCCGTGTGGACTGGTACCTTCACTACCATCATCGTAACGTGCGGGATGCATCCATAGGTCTGGTTGCACCTAAAATTCGTAAAGACCTGAACATCCCCGAAGTTGTCCAGCAGTCGGCCTTAGCAACGCTGACCAACGCGCTGAACGCACTGGAATCGGGCTGGTTGGCGCAAGCAGAATATATAACGGGCAGCCATTTTACGCTGGCAGATATTGCGGCTTATGTGGAAATCGGCCAGCTACAGCCGGAGTTCACAAATGTATTCGACTTTTCACCTTATCCAAACGTACAACGTTGGTTGAGGCAGATGAAACAAGTCGATGGGCACGATGATGTGCATGTGGTGTTGGCTGAGCTGGGCGATATCAGTGTCGAGCCGCCGTCTATGGAAACCATCAAAAACGCTAACAAAAACGCTCTGAAAGCACTGAAGGCGCGGCTGAACGCTATGGAAACGAACCGTGGGTGACCATCAGATAGAACAGCTTCGCATCGGCGGAACTGTGGCGCCCGGTTTCGAATCAGTAAAACAGTTGTTTGAACACAACATGAGAACGCTGGCTGAGAAAAATGCGCAGCTCTGCGTTTATGTTGGCGAGGAGCGGATAGTTGACCTGTGGGCCTCCACGACGGGCGATACAGACTTTAACGCCGACTCCCTTGTTAACGTTTTCAGCAGTGGCAAGAGCCTCGAATCCATAGCCCTGGCGTCACTGGTTGCGAAAGGGCTACTGGATTACAACGCCAGAATTACCGAATACTGGCCTGAGTTTGGTGCCCAGGGAAAAGACGAGTTAACTGTTGCTGATCTGATGCGGCACGAAGCGGGGCTCGCAGCCTTCAATGTCTCCTTAGACCCCGAGGACCTGCTCAGAGAGAACATAAAGCAGAACTCGGTAGGCCGCGTGATCGAAGGCCATGGGCAGACATTTCGCAAAGGCGATCGCAGCCGCAGGGAATACCATGCAGTTACCAGAGGTTGGATCGTTAACGAGCTGTTTCGGCGCGTAGACCCTGGGCACCGCACCATAGGTGAGTATTTACATGAGGACGTAAGTAGCCCGTTAGGTGCAGACGCGGTGATTGGCGTTCAACAACATGATCTACATCGGATCAGTGCGGTGTCGCCGCTGGGTTTTGGATTCCATTTCCGTGAAAGCTTTAAGCCCAGGTTCATGGGCAGGAAAGTGAAGGAGAACTTTTTCCAACTCTCCGGCAAACTGCTGCGCATGCTGCCCTCTGTGCGCCATGGCACCACTGCTGGCGCGCCGGCCCCGATTAAAGACATGAAGATTGAAAGCTTCAACGATGCTGCAGTAGCGATGGGTGAAACACCTTCGGCTAACGCGCATTGTTCGGCGCGAGGGTTAGCGCACATTGCGGCGGCTATGGCGTCCGGCGGGCGGTGGAAAGGTACAGAAATTCTGAGTACACAAGCCTGGCAAGCGATGCACGAAGCGCCTGTTAAACGAGATATGGGTATCCGCACCACATTCACACAGGGCGGCGTTGCACACTTTCCTGAAACTAATGCAGAGTCCACCAGGCTGGAGCACGCAGCCAATATGGGTAGAGAAGGCTTCTACGGCTGGATGGGCCTTGGCGGATCTATTTTCCAGTGGCATCCGGAAAAGAAAATTGGTTTCAGCTTTGTACCCACGTCTCTGCATGTGCTGGATGTGGTGAATGAGCGAGGCAAAGCTTATCAGGCTGAAATATTGAAATGCCTGGAGTGCAACTGACTGACCTTGCGCCGCAATGGTGCAACTCGAAAATTGATAATCAGGAGCAGGTAGCATGAAAGTAGGTTTAGCATTTGGCAGCAGTGTCGCAATTGATGGCCCTTCAGCTATCGAGCTATGTCGCCGCGCTGAAGCGGTGGGCTTTGAGTCGGTATGGGGTGGAGAACACGTGATCATGCCAAGCGAGTTCGACTCAAAATACCCATACACAGCTGATGGCAAGATACCGGCTGAACCAGACACCCCCATTCCCGACCCTCTGATCTGGCTGGCCTACGTTGCTGCTGCAGCACCGACCTTACAATTGGGTACATGCATTCTCATCGTGCCACAAAGAAATCCGTTAGTTCTCGCTAAGGAACTGGCAACACTGGATCAGCTTTCGGGTGGTCGTGTTGAACTTGGCCTTGGCGTTGGCTGGTTAAAAGAAGAATTTGACGCGTTAGGTATTGAGTGGGCACGGCGTGGTACGCGTAACGATGAGTATGTTGCAGCGATGCGGGAACTGTGGCGCGGACCACATGCGGAATATCACGGTGAGTTTGTGGATTTCCCCAAAGTGACCTCAAGCCCACGCCCCGTGAAAGGTGATATCCCCATTCTGGTTGGCGGCGATTCTGATGCCGCCATTCGCAGAGCCGTTAAAATCGCCGATGGGTTTTTCCCTGGTGAAGGCGACGCCGAGCAACTGGGCACCCTGTTGGCACGGCTTCGACAAGCAGCCGAGACCGCGGGTAGAGATCCTGACAGCATAGAGGTCAACGCCATATTTGGCGCACAAATGGCTGACCCGGTAGCCGGGGTGGAACAAATGAAAGAGCTTGGTGTTGGCCGCATCATGGTGCCGGCATTTTTCTTTGCGGGCCCAGGCGGCATAGACAGGATGGCTGAGTTTGGTGAAAAGGTGACCGCTCTGGCGGCCAGCTGAACAAACGGTCATCACGATCGGGTGTCTTTTGAGAACTGCAGACTGTTACACTGAAGCTTGATCGAAACGAACGTTTAGAGCCTGCCTGACCGTTGGCTCAGGAGAACACAAGATGAAAATCGTCGCCTGGTTACTGGCTTTTATTTTGGGTGTACCCATTCTTTTCATAGCACTTGTCTATGCGGCATCTGAACTTGGCGGTGAGGTTGTGACCCTCAGCAGGAGCGAGGCTAACGGCGAGGTCAGCCAGGTGCGTGTCTGGATCGTCGATGATGGCGGCAAGGCCTGGGTTGAACACGGTGCACCAGATGCTCACTGGATTTCGCAGCTGTCCGAGGTGCCCCAGGTCGTGCTCACCCGCAATGGCGAAGATACAACTTACATCGGCACACCCGATCCGGATGCCCATGCGCTTTACCATCAGCTGCGACGAGCCAAGTACGGTGTTGCCGATCAGATTGTCGGCATTATGGGTCCGGGTGCTGAAGACTGCGACGGCGTTCCGGTACGTCTGGAACCGACGCCGAATTCAGACTGATCTGGATCTTTCAGCAGCGGGGAAGTGTCCACCATCCAGGATTTGCCCAAAGCTTTTCTCGGCAACTGCAATTTGAGCTGGGGTACCTCCAGAGCAATATTGGGCCCAGATGCACCCGTTTAACGATACCCCTCCTGGACCGGTTGCCTGGGTAAGGACCACCATGCCGCTTCACAGGCGGCAGAGAGTTCCTCATCAAACGTGACATCGAATGCTGCCAGATTAGCGTCAAGCTGTTCAGGTTTGGAGGCTCCGATCAATGCGGATGTAATTCCCGGCTGCTGCAGCACCCAGGCGATGGCAACAGAGACCATATTCAAACCCTGGCTTTCTACAACCGCTTTTAACGTCTCAACGGCTGCAAATTGAGCATCGTGCCAGTACCGCTGCTGGTAACGATCTGCAGCACTGCCCAGGGTGAAACGTGTACCTTCCTCCGGATTCTGACCGGGTTTGTATTTACCGGACAGGAAACCCCCGGCCAGCGGATTGTAGACAATCACACCCAGGCCCTGATCGACACACAAAGGTAACAGTTCTGTTTCGATCTCCCGGTACAACAGATTGTACCGAGGTTGGACGCTGATATAGCCGCTGATACCAAGGCGTTCAGCCGCACGTAAAGCGTCTGCCAGACGCCAGGCAGGATAGTTGGAACAGCCGACGTAACGCACCTTGCCTGACCGCACGAGATCTTCAAATGCGCGCAGCGTTTCTTCAATCGGCGTATGCACATCAAAGCCATGACTCTGGTAGAGATCAATGTGGTCTGTGTGCAGGCGGCGCAGGCTGTTCTCAACCGATTCCATGATGTGTTGCCGCGACAAACCCATATTGTTGGGTCCGCGTCGTGTCGGTGCAAAACATTTTGTTGCCAGCTGAATCTGATCCCGGTTGCCTTTGTCTTTCATCCACCGACCAATGATGGTTTCGGTTTCACCAATAGTGTCCAGCGACCCTCCCAATGGGTAGGCGTCTGCGGTATCCAGAAATGTCAGACGATGATCAAAAGCTTTATCCAGGATTTTGCGGGAACCGGGTTCGTCAACCTGCAGCCCGAAGGTCATGGTACCCAGACAGAGGGCGGGCACTTCCAGCCCGTAGCGTCCCATGCGGCGTTTTTCCATTTGATAACCTCTTGTACTGTTGCGAGTGCTCTATCGTTTCACGCGTTGGCTTTGGCAACGCGATTCAATCGTATCAGGAACTGATCAACGGCTTTGCTGTCATTTGGCTCCATAGCAAACCGATTGTGAAAGAATATGCGCAAGGTGATGGTGCCATCGCTGAGCGTAACGGTGTAACCATCAAAGTCTGTACTTGCTCGGAGGCCTTTATAGACAAAGCTGTCTTCATCACGCTGCCCGTGATCCAGAATGTTCTGGTAAGCCCGAAGCGCCAGGGCTACGTCTACTTTGCGATCTTTAGGTTCCAAGGTACGGCCATGTCTAGTGGGACGGGATATTGATAACGCGATAGCTTACCATTTCATCGTGATCAGCTCGAGGTAGCCTGTAACCAGCGGTTGTTATTGCAACTCTTACCGTGCAATTCTTCCCTGTGAACAACACATGATGGCGGAGTGAACGATGAAACTATGGCAACTCAGTGCTATTGAACTGGCCAGCGGAATTTCCAAGGGTGAGTTCACTGCCACACAGGTGGTGACAGAGCATCTGGAGCGAATTAAAGAAGTTAACGCGGCGCTGAACGCCATTGTGGTCGTGATGGCGGAGACCGCCATTAAATCAGCAGCAGAAGTTGATCGTGCCCGCGCAAAAGGCGAACGGTTAGGCCCTCTCGCCGGCGTGCCCATGACCATCAAAGAAAACATTGATTGTGTCGGTACCGCCACAACTCAGGGCGTGCCCGCACTCGCAGAAGCTTTTCCAACAATGAACTCACCCATTGTTGACCGCATGCTGGCGGCTGGCGCCATTCCCATCGGGCGCACCAACTTACCGGAGATGGGCTTGCGGCTGCATACCGACAATGCGCTTCGAGGCCCGACGATCAATCCCTGGAATGCTGATCGAACCACGGGGGGATCTTCCGGCGGCGAAGCTGTCGCCCTGGCGACCGGCATGTCCCCTATCGGCCTGGGCAATGATATTGGCGGGTCACTGCGAAACCCTGCAAACTGCTGTGGAATTGCCTCGATCAAGCCTACCCAGGGCATCGTGCCTCATGCCGTGACCATTCCATCTGAAGACGAACCCATCAGCTTTCAGCTAATGCTCAGTGATGGACCGATGGCCAGACGAGTCGCCGATGTTCGTTTAGGTCTGGATCTGATGCGGGGTCATCACCCTCGAGATCCCAACAGCATGAGCGCTGAACTAAGCACAATCGATAGACCGTTAAAAATTGCCTTGATGGCGGAACCGCCCGGCGGTGACACCGATTCACGCATCGCTGACGTTACCCGAAACGCGGCGAGCGCGCTGGAAGCCGCAGGGTGCATCGTGACGCAAGCATCACCTCCCGGTATGGTACAGATGATTGAGCTATGGACGCACCTGCTCGATAACGATGTTTCTTTGACATTACCCCTCCTGGCCCCTCTCCTCTCTGGTGATGCAATGGCATTTCTTGAGGATTTTCGTGACGGTCGGCAGACACCGAGTGTCGAAGATTATGGCACCTGGCTTACCACGCGCATGGCAGTGTCTCGGCAATGGGCAACCTTCTTCGGCGAGCATGACCTGCTGTTGTCTCCAACCTGGACCCAACTGCCTTTTCATGTGGGGTGGGACATTGCGCAAAAGGGGCGTGCCGTTGAAACCATGCAGCAGGCAAGATGTATCATGCCCGGCAATGCACTTGGCCTGCCCTCCGCATGTGTACCCTCCGGCATGGTCGATGGCATGCCGGTTGGCGTCCTGTTAACCGGTGGACGTTTTAGTGACTACTTGTGCCTGGATGGCGCGGCGATGATCGAAACTGCGTTGGGTGTTGAGACACCAATTGATCCGCGCTAGCTCGTGGAGGGAGTGTTAACTAACTTCCACAAACCAATCGTAACAAGCGGCACGACATAATTATGCCCGCACTGATCATTGCATGGGCTTTGCGTGACAAGCCCTGGCCGCTGGTTTCGGTGAACGTACCGAATAACACCACCAGATAGGCGATCTCAGGCCAGGTGATGTTGAGCCGTTCTGACCTTTCCCCCAGCACGCCCAAGACAAGCACAAACAGAATAATGGCGAGCACCTCAAAAGCTACCCACCATCGTGCAAGCAGCACCTATCGCCAACAATGACTATCCTTGAGGCGTTCAGAAAGGCGCACACCCAGACCTTTCGGAACGAATTACTGAAGTGTTGGATCAGTACGCCCGTTATACCGCATCGAGGATCATGAAGGTGCCGGTCGCACGGGCCAGCAGTCTGTCGTTTTCGTCGAACACTTCGCTGTCGAGCGCTCCCGTTCGACTGCCCTTGTGAACCACACGGGTTTCGCAACGCAAAGGGCCCACTCGTGCCGGCCGGAAATAGTTGATCTTTATCTCGATCGTTGAGCAGAACTGGCCTTCCTTTAGCACGCTACTCAGCGCGCCTCCCATGCCAGTATCCGCAAGCGCATAGAGCACCGCTCCATGAACCACCTCGTTCGGATTCAGGTGGCGTTCCGCTGCCACAAGTTCGCAGGTGGAAAGCCCCTCTCCGCGGGCGGTGATTTCGAATCCGATCAGATCCGCAAACGGGTGGGGACGGGGGGTGGACAGTTCAGTCATCGAGGCCTCAGCATAGATGCGGTTGCGATATTTATCACAATAATGCTTCTGGATCCGCCTGACCATACGGCCGGCTGCTACAGGCTGTTGGTCCACCGCCCTTTCAATTGTTGCCTGGGTCTGTTGGCGCAGACTCGGCGCGCCAACAGACCCCCAGAGTTGTGCTTTCACGCCATTGCTAAAAAGCAACCCTGCCCTTACGTGCGCTGTGCCGATTTCACGCGGAATGCCTCATAAAATAACAAGGCGATAGACACTAAACAGCGAGCTGACCAATGATACCAGCAAACCCAACACACCCCCTCAAACTTGATGATCAATCTCCCACTGGTGCCGATCAACGTTCTGCCCTGGGGCGGCCCCTTGCAGCGGGTAGATCGGACGCCTGACCTTGTGAAACTCGAGCTGATTATAATCTGACGTACATACGCCACAACCCGCGCACTCCACCACCGCGCGAGCCATTTCACGAAAACCAACACGGTAGTGCACGCGGGATTTCAGCATGAGGTAACGCCGCGTCTGAGGCTCGATGCCCATGCTGCGGAAACAACCGGGGTCGAATGGTTCAATGTGTCGCGATACAACAATCACGTCAACGTCCCCGGGCAGCCTCAGCACCGCGCTCAAACCCATGTTCATGGTTAATCCACGCGACATTGCAACAGTTGCCGGGAAACGCCCGTTACTTAAATGTGTGACTTCACCTGTGACCTGCAGCGGTTGACTGGACTTCGCCAATGCCGGCATCGGCAGTTTGCCACCCAGCGATAACGTCACCTTAGCCCCAATACCAGCCGCCGACATCTCCGCCACCGCCTCAGGGTCGTAGAAGCCAAACACCGCAACATCTTCAAGCTTCGCAGCTAACACGGCAGCCAGCACCTCGGTGGTATCCATGGTGCCGCCGGACGCGGTGTTGTCGTAGTGATCGAGAATCACCACCGGTCCGCCTCCATCCTGGGCCGCAAGACTTTGTGCTCGCGCCATGCTTTCTACCAGCGGCTCCGGCTGATAGACAAACTGTTCACGCTGGCGCCAGGCACTGTCCAATAGTTCATCGCGCAGTGTTTCAGCATGGCTCTGATTAGCATCGGTGACCACCACAACCGACAGACCCGTGTCATGGATATCGGCGTGGGGAAAACCGGTGAACAGACTCACCGCACAGTGTTCATCGCGTTCCATAGCAGCCACTCGCCGTTGCAGACCTGCATTGGGTTCATCATCGGTGCCCTGGCGCATCACGTGAGGCAACATGGGTGCGTTACCCCACACCATGGTGGGCCGAAATTCGCCAGCGAGCGTTGCAAATAACAACCGCGCCGCCCGCCGCGCAGCTTCATCCATGTCCACATGCGGATAGGTCTGATAGCCGGCCAGTAACGTACAGTTCTGCACCATCAACTCCGTAAGGTTGGCGTGCATATCGAGCGACACCGCTATGGGCAAGTCGGGCCTTAATTCGCGGATGCGCCGCAATAACTCACCTTCACCATCGTCGAAACGTTTGGTTACCATCGCGCCATGTAAGTCCAGCAACATGGCATCACAGTCGGCGGCTGCCTCTAAGATAGCCGCGCATATAAACTCGTAGGTATCGTTTTCCACCGGTCCGCTGGGCGCTGCAGCGGCGGCAATGGACATCAGAATCTCGGCGCCCTGACTTTCGGCCACCTCGATATAACCGCCAAGACAGCTTGCGGTACCGCGGTACAGCTCCAGGGCCCGAGCGCCAGACGGGGGTTGTGCACCACCGCCGGAAAAACGGACCAGATCGGTTATGACCGGCGAGAACGTGTTGGTTTCATGACTCATCATTGCAATAGCGACTTTCATATCAGCTCCTTGTGCGAGACTATTCAGCACTCCAGGTTGTCTAACATTATTTGCCGATTCGCTTGCGCATACCGCTCTGAGTGTCTGCCTCTGAAAGTCCCAGGGAAAACAGGCTTGTTCGATACTTTCAGCGAACTGTTAACAAGAGCGGCTCTGCACCAGGTATGACTCAGCCAACCCTGATCAGGCTGAATCAGACGGGTGATCCGAACTGGAGTTTTCCTCACTCGCCTGCTCATCAGATTCGAGGTCAGCCGAGGCGCGGCGCCCATTATGTTGTTTCACGTGACCACGGCGAACCCGGGCATAATCCTGTAATTGTCGGCGAGCCGCGTTGAACGAATCCCTGAGCGTGACATAAATGTCTTCATGTGCATGCTCATCTCCTGCATCCCGAGTGACACAAATCTGATCTCCCGGAACCTCAAGTTCAATGCGTATACGATAGAGGTTGCCATGGTGATGTCGTTTGTGGGAAGACTCCACCAACACCCGGCAACTGGTGATTTTGTCAAAGAACTTATCCAGCTTGTCAGCTTTCTCACGGATCACGGATTCAACGGCATCTGATTGCGGTATGTCCCGCCAGGTGATTTGTATCGGTAAAATCAAAGCAGCCCCCTCACATTATGCATATGTCTGTTACCCGAGTATGCGATACGCCTGCGTGTATGTAATAACGGAATGTACCTAGTCTGCTTGCAGCGGGCCCCTCGTCGGTGAGGTTACAAAAATTTATGATGCTTTATCAGGCCGTGAATTATTTCCTGATCACCTGATTAGGCATACCCAGACGCTGGGTAGCACTATGCACAAGTTCTTCAAACAGACTGCCCAGTTCTGCAGGCAGATGTAAATCGTCCCGCTCGGCAATGGCATTGTATTCACCAACAAATCGAATCAGCTGCTCTCTATTGACCTGATCCAGAAGGCGGGCAATTAACTCCACCAGGTGTGGAGCAATCTCATACCAGGGCCGATTAGACACTTCAGCGCCAATGGCATCCAGTGAAGCCAGGGCTACGGTAATGTCATTATCGATGACAAGTGCGTGCCACGGATCGGAATCAAGGAAATTATGCAGATGTTTCCGGATATCTTCTTCCAGCGGGGGCACGCCGGGAATGTCCACGGGCTCCGCCAGATCAACCATAATGCAGAAGTCATTCATGTCCTCTTCGGCCATGGCATTGAGAGATAGTTCTGCACCTTCCGACAGGCCGGCGCTCAACAGGAAATTAAGTTTTTCGCGAATTGCCTGCGCCTGTTCGGCAAAGGCCTCAGCCTGGTCTGCATCCGCTTTCCTGGCGTTTTGCATTCGACGGTTCTGATCACGCCACGCCCAGAAGCGTAACGAGGATGTGTTGGGGGTTTTACTGAATCGTATATTCGGCATGGTTAGTCACCTCAGAGATAGTGCATACTTCTGGCGGCAATGTACCAGAATGCGCTGGTATGACCTAGGCGGCAAAGTTATTTGGACCTTGGGGTTCAGGGCATCAAGCCAGCCTTAAGGCGCGTCGACGGCGTTTGTTGCCAGCGTGTCCAGCTCGTCATAAGTGTCCTGCAGACAGCTCAGGTAAAACTGCATATCGGGCAGGATCGAAGCGCAGCTCGTGACACTTAAATTAAGTTCTCCGCAATAACTCATCGCTGCATGAAAAATAGAAACCCCATCCACAAGAGGTCCGGTGCCATAGGCCTGCACAAGTTTTGCACCGCAACTGTACAGTGGTACTGGCGGCGCTTTCACGTTAGTGACAACCGTGTTCGCTACTGTTAAACCAGCCTTGGGCTGCAGTGTTTGCGCGGCAAACCTCAACCATGGCGCGGGCGGAAGCTCGGCTAACTCAGCAAGCAGGCCTGTTGTATTACTGTCAAAGCGTCGTTCCTGTTCCTTTGCCGCTGCACTCGCCTTCGCCACCTCGCGCAGGCGATCAACTGCATTGCCGATGTCAGTACCCACGGGTACCACGATCTGCGAAATACGATTGCCCTCGTCGCTTTGATTAAGCGTTTTGCGTGTGCTGACAGGCACCATGGCTGTCAATGAGCGACCTGGTAGCTCGTTATGCCGCCGAAGATACTGACGCATGCCGCCGCCGACGATGGTTAAGACCACATCGTTGACGGTTGCACCAGGTGCCAGTTTTTTGATTGCGTGCAGGCGTTCAAGAGGGAAATGTAAGGCGTTAAATACGCGTCGACCGGTCACACGCCCATTCAATCGAGTCCGTGGCGCGCCAGGCGGAAAAGGGACGTTACTCGCTCTTGAGAAGGCAGGTAACGCATTGAGGGCGCGCAGGGGACGCGTGGCATCTTTTACCGTTGCACGATACAGCAGCGCGATGGGTGTCGGCGGGACGTCTTGGGGTACCACGGATGGTGTTAAAGGCGGCGCATCTGGTTCGACATCATGAAGCACACCAGTCACGCTGATACCGGCTAAGCCGTCAACCGCAGCGTGGTGGATTTTAGTCACAATGGCATAGGCGTCATCTGCAACGCCATCCAGATCACCGAGTCGGGGAATGATGTGCATCTCCCAGAGAGGTTTACTTCTATCGAGAGGCTGAGCATGTAACCGCGCTGTCGCCGCGCACAGCTGGGACCATCCGCCCGGCTCTGCCAGGGTGTATTCAAATATGTGGTTATCCGGGTCGAAGTCTGTGTCATTGACCCAATATGGATGATCCAATCCCCAAGGTACGGTGACTAATTTTCTGTGATAACAGGCAATGTTCGCAGCCCGCTGTCTGACGTTATTGACGATCCTCGCAAAACTGAACGCCGCGGTGACGGGTTCGTAAATCTGCAGTGCAGTGACATGCATGGGCGTGCGGGACGTTTCAGCGTAGAGAAAGCCTGCGTCAATTGCTGATAGTTGTTCCATAGTTGATCATTATCGCAGATTTCAACCTTGCAGATGTTACCGGGACCAGGCTTAACTGAAGCGATTTATTGATGTATCTGTATCCCGGCAACAACTTGTTACCCTGGAGTCATAAGGCACAATCCATTATCTGATATGCTGGCCTACGGGGCACAACACACCAAGGTTGACTGGAGAAAACAGATGCAGAGCCTCAACGCAGAACGGCTGAGCGGTACTCTTGGAGCAAGAAACAAAAACTTCGATCCTGCAGGCCATGCTGGCGCGTTGGCGACCATGTAATGTGGGACAATTGCTGTGTGATGCACTATGCCATTCATGGTTACGATGATCTGCCAAGAGAGATGCATCGCGTGACTGTGCGCGGGGAGCTGCCGGCGTGAGCGATTTCCCCGAGGCTGCTAATGGCCTGCTGAACCGACGCTGGTTTCTGAAGGCGGGCGTAGCTGCAAGCGGTGCCACTTTGCTGGCTCCGGCAATGGCAGATGGCCCCTGGATGACCTATCCAGGAGAGCCACCCGGTCCCTATGGGGCACCATCCAGATTCACTCAGCTCAAGCGCGAACAGATTACTCAGAACCCGCTTGGTCCGGCAGAAGGCGCATCCTGCACCCCACTACAATCATTGAACGGCATCATCACTCCAAACAGCCTGCACTTTGAACGTCATCATAGTGGCATTCCTGATATCGATCCGGAGCAACACAAGCTAACGGTATTTGGCAATGTCAAAAAGCCGCTGACTTTCACTAGCGATTCACTTAAGCGATATCCACTACAGACAAAAACCTGGTTCCTGGAATGTTCCGGCAACAGTTATCGCAACACCATTGGTGAGGCCCCTGATATGACAGCTGGCGAAATGTCTGGTCTGCTATCCTGTGCAGAATGGACAGGTGTGCCACTACACTACCTGCTTGACGAAGCGGGTGCAGACAGCGAGTCAGGCTGGATCATTGCAGAAGGTGCAGATGCATCCGGGAACAACCGCAGCATCCCAATGGCGATCGCGCAACACGCAATTATTGCGCTTTATCAGAACGGAGAGCCCATCAGACCCGCACAGGGTTTTCCAATGAGGCTTTTTGTACCGGGCTGCGAGGGTAACATCAGCATCAAATGGCTGCGAAGCTTGAAACTGACCAGTCAACCAGCACATACCCGCGAGGAAACCAGCAAATACACGGACCTGATGCATGACGGTACAGCACGGCAGTTTTCTCTCAGAATGGAAGTTAAATCGCTCATCACCTCACCGTCTGGAAAAATGCAGCTACCCACCAGGGGCATTTATCCAATCACAGGGCTTGCCTGGTCTGGTCACGCAGCCATCCGCAAGGTTGAAGTCAGTGCAGATGGTGGCAAAAGCTGGGCAGAATCCGAACTGCAGACCGAACCTGCGCCACTTCGACCGGTAAGGTTCCGCATTCCATGGCACTGGCAGGGCCAGCCCGCGATTTTGCAGAGTCGCGCCACAGATCAGGCGGGCAACGTTCAGCCAACCAGAGAAGTAGCATTGCGCGATCAATCACAACTGGTGATCTATCATTTTAATGGCATTCAGAGCTGGCAGGTGGATGAAACTGGAAGAGTCCGCAATGTGCATGGCTAACGATAATCACCCTGGTGCCTTGCCTAGGGCTTGTGCTATCTGGGTGCTGCTCACAGGCTCCGTGATATCGCTGACAAGCGCTTATGCCGACACAGAATCGGACCTTGGCGTGCACCTGCTACCTGCCCTCGGCGTACCGGCACCGAGCGACTTTGAATCTGTTGTGATGCCAGACGGTACAGGTCTTCCAGAGGGTGAAGGCAGTGTCAGTTTCGGTAAGCACATTTTTGCAAGCCATTGCGCTTCCTGTCACGGTAGCCATGGCAAACAGAGGGGTAACGCCCTGGTGGGTGGCAAAGGCACCCTTGCATCAGCTGCCCCCAATAGAACCGTTGGCAGTTACTGGCCGTATGCAACCACACTGTTTGACTACATAAATCGTGCCATGCCATATGGCAGCGAGAAATCGCTGGCCGCCAGCGAAGTCTATGCCGTTACCGCTTACGTTTTGCACCTGAACGATATAGTGCCTGGAGATGCAGTTTTAAATCAGGACAATGTGGCTGATGTTAACATGCCCAACAGAGACGGCTTTCATCAGGCGCCTGATTTCGAACCCTTTCGCTAAACCCCTTGTGGATCAGGGTCAGTACTGCTTTTGATTGATAAAAGTCGCCAGTAGGCTGTAACGCGCTCTTCTGCCATGGCCAGCAACGATCCAGCTGCGTAACCATCAGCACCTCTTGGTTGTTCCTGTTTGCCACTCAACAGGCTCAGCGCTTCGTATACGTTTGAAACGCTGTACACTGTAAATTCGCCCCGTTCAGCAGCCTCCACAAGCTCTTCACTCAGTGCCAGATCCCCCACGTTTGATTGAGGAATAATCACACCCTGGCTACCTGTGATACCCAGGTCTTTGCAGGTGGCATAGAAGCCTTCGATTTTTTCCGTGGCACCACCGATGGGCAGTACGTTGCCTTGCTGATCTATCGCGCCGGTTATCGCCAGATCCTGTCGCAGCGGTACTTCGGACAATGCACTGAGCAATACGCACAGTTCTGCGCACGATGCGGAATCACCATCGATACCCCCATAACTCTGTTCGAACGCAATTGAACCGGTGAATGCCATCAGATGATCGACTCTGATCAGGCGTCTCATTACGCCATCAACGATGCTGAAACCTTTGGTATGAATACTGCCGGAGAGATTAGCTTCCCGTTCTATGTTGATTGTGCCTTGAGTACCCGCACCTACAGACGCTGTGATTCTGGCTGGAAATCCGTAGGTCAGCGGCCCGGTGCGTGACACTGCCAGACCATTGATCTGCCCCGTACGCTCGCCTGTTACGTGGATGTTGATGTCACCGTTTTTAATCATACGGCGAAATCGACGCACAGACAGATCTGAGCGCTGTCGACCCGACTCGATCGCCTTGGCAACATCCTCTCTGGTGATGGTTTCACCGTTACGGCGCCGGGCAACCCAGTCCGCCTCGCGGAGAATGTCGCCGATGCGACCAAAACGCACCGATATGCGGTCTTTCTGTCCCGCGATCCGGACGCTATGTTCCGCCACCAGCGCCACGCCAGTCGCGGTCAGTGGCAACAGATCGCGCTTTTTAACAATTTTAGCGACAACACTGGCAAAGATAGCCACACTCTGCTGCGTACGCGGCATTGAATCATCGAAATCAGCAAGGATTTTGAACAACTCGCCAAAACGTGGATCATAGGCATCCAGCATCTGGTGGGTGTAATAATCGCCTAACAGTACCACTTTGACCTGAATCGGTATGGGCTGTGGCGCTAACGTCGCCCCACTTGTTATTGGTGAGAATTCCTGAGCGGAGAGATCGACTTCACGTGATCGCAACGCCCGGGTCAGTTGCAGCCATGCACCCGGCTCTTCCAACAAATCCCGAACCTCAACAAACAGGTAGCCGCCATCTGCGGCGATCAGCGATCCGCCCTGAATCATTGTGTGATCGCTGTACATCGCACCACTAGGCGTAAAGTGATGTGGTACCGATCCGAGCAAGTGTTGTACCGATGTATTTCCCGCGATCACTATTGGGATCTCTTCGTCGTCCGCGTGGGTGGCAATGACGTTAACGCTGTACAGTTGAGATAAGGCCGGGTTTTCCAGCTCTGCCAGACGCTTGGTGACCAGGTCTTCTTCAACGTCGACCAGAAACCTGGCCAGCTTTTCATCCGGCGCAATGTTATTGATGACCTGCAGTCGCCGATGCACGATATCCCTGGCTTCCTGTCTAACCAGTTGTTGAAGCTGCTCCGCATACTTTTCCTGGACTTCCTGAACTTTCTCCGTGACTTCGCTCAGTACCTCACTGGCGCTGCCGATTTTCGCCATGATTTTTTCAGCCTCTTCATCCGACAGCTTACCGGTACGGCGTAATTCACTGAACTCAACAGAATTCACCGGCTTGTCATCGATCACCGGCAAGATTGAAGGGACCATCACGCCACCCGCTTCCATGGGCACAAGCACAAGCCCCTGTTCACGCATAGAGTCTTCAAATGGTGCGCCCAGGCGCTGCATCGCCTGTTGCGCTTCCTCCTGCACTTTATTGCGCCGGCTGCGCAGGCCATCAGAGTTGAGATACTTCTTCAGCTCATCGCGGACAAAATTGGTAAAGCGCACCATCAGGTCTGCAAACTGAGGGGCTTTGCCGCGCGGCAATTCGATCAAAACTGGCTTGGTTGGCTGAACAAAATTATGTACAAAAACTTTATCCGACACGGGCGCGCAGAAGGGTTGCATATCCTTCGCTAACTGCGTCAACAAACTCATACGGCCGATACCATTCATGCCCCGCACATAGATATGCTGCTGGTCACAAGGCACCGACAGGCCATAAGTCAACGCTGCTACGGCGTCCTCCTGGCCTTCAATACGGTCGTGATCTTCAACCTCGGTGGTCGTTTCGAATGCCAGCCACTCGAGCGGACACATCCAACGCAAATCAGCTTGATCGACTTTCATAGGTCCTCTTTAAGTGCAGCGCAATGTTCGGATTCTACAACTCAACAACAGCGAACACGAATCCGTCGCTGTCCCCTCTCGTTTCCCGCAAGATGAACCCCAGATTGCTTTCGGGCGCCCACAAAGGGCTGCTAAAATCTGACCAGGTATCCCATCGCTCGATGGACACGTTCACTCGCAATCTCTAACGCCGCCTCACGAGGCAATTGGGCGGATTGGGATGATCGAGTCAGGGTTTCGATGACATTAACGCGGATCTTCTCAGCGATGCTGGCCATCGCCTGGGTTTCACTGCCCTGGTGATATTCCACCGCCGCACAGATGACACCACCGGCATTGGCAACAAAATCAGGAATAACCAGAATGCCGCGCTCAGCCAGGC